CATTTACCGGGTTCTCTGCGGAAGTGCTTCCATGCGCCAATCAAGTGTAGAACCAACCAACATCTAGCACCAACCATGTCTGTCATACATATACCATGTCCCTAAAAGTACTCCCCGCAGCATTTATTTTCTTAACTGTTTGTCTTACATATATTTCCAGCTGCAAAAATGCTTTAAATGATGTAAATATTCATACTTTGACATTTTTTAATTTTAAAAACTAATTCTGTAAAAATTATGAAATATAATTTTTTATATGTTTCACTGAGTCCATACTTATATTTAGGGAAATGTTACACTTGTTATAAAATAGAAAATGATTTTACAACGCCTGAAAAATCGAGCTTATTGTCCTCTTGAAGAGTCAATTAAAAATAAATTAGTATAAATAGAATTTGGTTTTATCTTCATTTAGGCCATTCTGTGATATTTTTTTGTGATCTACTAACACGTAAATTATGCAATTTATCATTTTTATAATTACAATACAAAGTCTTTAATCCGTACGTCTATAGTCCAGACCTCAAAGCTACAAACTTTCTGCGCATGCGCGCTTAATGTATAACGGACGGTATCAGCTAGGCTAAAATTATCTAATTATCTATTTCAGTTAATGTTGCAGATTGCATTGTTCCTTAATCTTCTAATTGAATCTGGCATATTATTTTTTGCAGACTGTTAGAGCAATTTTATAAAAAGGAAGCTTGAACTTTCGATTATGTCAAAAAGAGTTTCCAATTCTGGAGCTGCCAAAGGATCTACAAAGTGAAAGCATGTTTTGATAACCATCAAACAAAAAGCGGAATTGTTGCAAAAAATGGATAAAGGCATGAAGAAAGTGACAGAGAGGTTAGTGAAAACGAAAAAAATTTTGATTGACAAGTTAGTCGGTATTCTCGGCAAAGAAATTACAGGACTTGAACAGCAGAACTTTGTAACTGAACAAGAAATGACATCTGTTTATAGAATTAAAGAGAAAGTATTAGCACATAAAACGAAGCAACTTAAACAACTTACATTGAAAGACATGTTTATTAAATAAACAAATAAATATTAACCTTTTTTTGATACCCTTTAGATCATAATTGCTCTTTATTTCATAAATTACAGTTTCATATTTTTAATTTTATAATTTCTGCATGCCACCTTACCAGATTTAAATTGATAATCTATAATCCGGAAAACCTCTAATCCGGAATCGCCAACGAATCCGGATTAAAGACTGTACTGTAGTAATTTTTTGGTGTGGGTTATGAAACAGAACACTGATTGGGTCATTTTTGATAGCACTGTAATTGGTGAGAAGGACATGTAAATTAAAACATTAAATGGACAACCGTCTGACTTCATCAGGCATTTAGCTTGTAAATATTCATATTAATCTTGGATTATCTCTGCATATGATATGGTGTGACATGGTTTCACTACAGATTATATTCAAATGTTTCATTTCTGTATACTTTTGTCATTTCTGAGAAGCCTCCGATTCTGTTCATGATAGATCATTTTTGGATAAAACATCTTGGAAATGAACTATAAATAAATTTTCTAAGCATTCAACTTTTTTGAGTTCACTGCTTTAGTGAACAAAAAATTATGGCTTTAGCATAATGTGGCCATATATCTTAGATTGTGAGGTTCAGTCCCACATCCCAGAGTAGTGCTTCTAGGAATTATTCTCAAAACTGTCCTGTTTTTCAAATATTCCCAAGGACTGCTCTATATGTTTATGCTGATTTTGTGAAACCAGAAACATACTGAATAATAAAATAACTGTGTTATCTAAATATATATTATAAGAAGCTCTCAAAGCATACGAAAAAGACCGGTTATTGAAAAAAAATTTTAGATTTTCTATTCCATTTGCATTTTATATTTTGAAAATGGACACTAAAATTAAATCATCTACTACATAATATAAACACATGTAGAGAAGTATAACTTTTGAATAAAAATACTTTGATGAAGAACCATTATCTAATGGTAGATTATTCTATAAAATATTAAATTAAAAAATTTGAAAAACTAAATATTTATCCTAGGAAATGTATCAAATGAAATAAGATTTTCCCCCTAAACAACCATGTTTCTTCCAAATCTATAAACATTGTTAACTGAACTCTGCTCCTTGAGGAAAATTGAAACACAGTGCACATTTTGAAAATAAATATGGTGAAACTTCTCAAGATGACCACATGCAAAATTGTATAGTGTTTATTAGAGTATAAATAAACATCAATATTGATCACCCCAGCATATTCTCTAAGATAAAAACCTTCATATAAAAATAGTCTGAAACGAAATGGTCTCTGGATGATTTCACAATAACATGCAAGCAACAACAACAAAAAAAAAAAAAAAAAAAAAAAAAAAAAACACTTAACGTATTAATTGTTTGAAATAATAAAATCACATTTTTAAGCTTCAAAGAAAACTGTGCTTTTATTTATTTGAATCCTTTCCTATGTGGGTCAGAAACTGTCTTGTTCTGAATTGGCTTAAGAAATGGTATAAAGAATGGCTTTGATAATAAACTGCTGCTAAATGGCAGTTTTAAATAGAAAAAATACCACATGACTACACTCAGCATCAAATAACTTGCATTTCTAGATCCATGAAATAATGCTGCATTTATTTGCATAATTTTGTTTTAATTCTGTAGTTTGGCAGTGAGCAAGTGATATACTGTCTGTCTATGGTAAGAACACCTCCCACCACAGTGTCTGGCGGGTCGCGGTTGCTATAGCAACAGGGCTAGTATATTTCAAATAGAAACGAACCAAGGGTTGCTTTATTGTTATTTTGTTTTTGGCGACTGTTGGCTGAAGGGAAAAGAGTTTATCATTCGTCTTCTTGGTTTCATTCCAGCTGCATGCATCTTTTCTTAAGCCTATATTAATTACTATTAGCTATTTTTATTCTCGTTGTTATATCTTTTGTACTGGTATTTGTTCAAATTTGCTTCTATTTAGCTTAATTTTCGTAGTGCTTTGTTAATCGCCAATTTTTTAAAATGCCCTTCCAGTTTAAGAAAGGTCAACCTTTAAAGTCTCAGGCACGTCAAATCATGTACAATGTCGCAGAATTTTGCGCTTCTGAAGCTTCGGAGAACTCTTTAGTAGTTCCTCTTCCTCAAGTTTTGAAGAGAACATCGCAAGCTACTGGAGTACCGGAGTATACAATTAAAAAAATTAAGCGCAAAGTATGAACAATGGGAGAAGATCAACTTCTAAATACGCCTGAAAAGAAACATAAAAGCCCTGCTAATCATAAGTGCGAAATTGACGATTTTGACAAATGCGTTATACGGCAGACTATACAAGACTTTTACATCAAAGAAAAGAAAGTGCCATCTGTGCGGAAATTATTGCCTGTCTTGAGACAAAAAATAGACTTCCCGTGGCAAAAAGACTCATTGTGCAAAGTTTTGCGTTCGATGAATTTTCGCTGGAAGAAATGTGTTAACAAAAGAAAAATTCTTATCAAAAGGCCTCACGTTGTATTTTGGAGGAACAATTATTTACGCGAATGAGGAAAACTCAGAGCAAGTGGACGCCACATCGTTTACATCGATGATGAAACATGGGATTGACAGCAATTTAACTTTTAAGAAATGTTGGCAGCATGATGCAGTTTTGGCGCGCACAGATAAATGTCAGTTCCAAAAATAGACTGATTGTTGTCCATACTGGCTCTTCCGCAGGATTTATTCCAGGTGCCCAACTTATATATAAAGCATCAGCTCAAAGCGGGGATTACCACAGACAGCCGCAGACAAACTGGCGAGAGCTGTTCTAACCGTAGACAGACAGTAGCTTTTTATGTTTTTTTTTATGCTTTTCATTGTAAATTAAAAGCAATTATATTTTATCACTAAATTAACCTCATAGCTGCCAACATTAAAATCTTAAAAACCAGAAGAAAGTGAAAGCTTTTCATATTGTGCAGGAGCATCATTTCAAAGGTACTCCAAACGGACTTTAATTCAGTTATAGTGCAGGATTCATGTTATTCAACTAATTGTAATACAATTCTGATCCAAATATATTGTTATTTAATTAGGTATTCTAAATTTTATGGTCTTTGGCTAATTTCATTTTAAAATTTTCTTACACTTTTATAATGAGAAAATCTTATGTATTGTAGGAAAGCTTTTATTTATTAAAGTACTTTTAAATATAATAAAAATAAAATTAATAATTAATGCATGTAGTATTTGTACGGATAAACTTAATAATGTACCATATATTAAAGTACAATGAAATTAAATGCAAATATTAACTAATTAAACATCACTTGAACTGACACATAAAATTCTACAAATGTCTACAATAAATTAAGACAACTCATCAAATGAAATTTAATAATAAAAAATATTCTGAAATTCACTAAAAGTGGAAAAATAGTGTTCCTCTAATTTTGTTAATTTAATTTACTGCTGAGAAGCATTTTCCTTAAAAAAGGCTAAAAATTAAAAACTGGGAAATTTGGTGTTCTACCAGGAAACCGGGAGATGTAGTAAAAAACTGGGAGAGTTGGCAGCTATGTAACATTCACATGGACATATACATTTTGACTTTTCCATAGTTTTTAACAACAATTACTCTTCCTTTTTGCTGCATCTATAAAATATTTTCAACGTGAGATATGATAAAAAATGTAAGCGATATTTAAGAAAATATCTGACCAAAAGCTTATTTTTATTGAATGAAATTATTTCATTTTCCGGCTATTTTTCAAATAAATGAAATGATAAAAAAAAGAACCTCATATAATAATAACTAAATATCTTTATTGAAATTCAGGGAATCAAATTCTGAGAAAGAATTAAAACAAACTTCTATCATGAAGTCTGATGTTACTTTCTTCTAGCACATATCGTACCACACTTAAAACACACACACACACACACACACACACACATATAATACACCAAATATGCAAGAATAAGAATTAAATGTGTCTCTTATTTTTTTAGGAGAAAAAATGCTATTTATTACCTCTACAGTTGCTATAGGAAGAGCTTCTTGGTGTGTGATAAGGTCTTGTTCGACATTGATTGCTGACAATAGAAGAATAAAACCTTTAAAATCTAGTAAATTCATAAACACACAAAGTTTGATAATGAATGATAATTACCTTCAATCTGATTGTTTTTTATATCTTCTGGAGTATCACTGACTAGAGCAGCTAACTTACTCAGGCTTAATAATGTCTATATTTGAAAGTAAAGTAAATTGTTAGAAAATGAAACTGAAAGGAAAATTACACAAAAAGTACATACTTTTCTGTATCTTATATCATTCAGAACAGTGGATTGCAATCTAAACCATTGTTTGATAATACATGCAATCAGACTTACCTTCTTTCTGTTGAGAAACTCTGTTTCTTTCAGAGCAAGTTCTTTAAGGGTTGAATAAGCTGCATCATACTCCTCTTCCTGCATATGATATATCCATTTCAACTTTTCATAATTTTGAAGAAAATTGCCTAAAACATTTTTCTGGCCAAGCTCTTTATCAAATATTTTTCCTCTTTGACCTTTTATTTATAAAATGACATTTAGAATTATCCTGCATGAGTATGACTAATTTTAAAAAATAACATTTTTCAAAATTTCATAGCTGTATATATATATATAATTTATCAAGCAAAGCAGTAATAACAATTTGTGAAAAACCAATTTTGGTCTAGAAAACATCTTGCGCAATATGCTGCAAAATAAGTAAAATATAAAAAATTGTAGAAAGCTCACCTAAAAGTTACCAAGAGCTGCTGCTCCAAAAGGTTTAAAACGTTTCAAAATTAATACCATGAAAAGCAAATCATTAGACATGTAAAACATAAATAAAATTAAAAAACTGAAAAAAGTTAAAAGTAGCGAAAAATGGTAAATTAGCCAAATTCGACTTCCAAACAGGCTTTTCAGGGAATTTCATTATTTGAACGTCGAATCAAGCTAACCCATTACGCGTTTCGCCGAAACAGACAATTGAAACTTTTTCGCTAAAAAATTTTTTTGACAAAGTGTCTTGGAAATTTTAATAGTCTCAATTCTCTGTTCCAATTTCCCGACGCGTCCGCTCAGAATGACACATTAAGGTGTTAAAATATGTTAATCAAAATCAAAACTTCCTATATATTTAAAATTAAACAAATTTAAATTTTAACAAACATGTATATACATAAAAAAGCAAATTAATTAATACTGAACTAAATAATGCCATTACTTACAAACTCACCAATATACAAGAAAAAGTTATTGCAAAAAAAGCTAAAAGCATTTCATAAGAAACTGCAAATTTCACAACCATCTAACTACAATAGATTAGCAAATCTATATGATCTTCCAAAATTTCATAAATCACCCCTCAAATTTAGATTTATTGCTAATGGTACAAATAATCATAAAAAGAATATAGATTACATATTTGCAATTAAACTTTAAAACTCGTTAACAAACAACACAATTATAGTTGGATTATTTATAATAATGCTCTAGTTCTCAGCAGATTTAAAAGTTTAAAAATCAAGAACATTAACTGCTATGACTTTGAAAACCTTTATACTTCTCTACCATTAGAAGAAATTTTTACTAGTTTAATGCAACTCCCACAACTTTTTCCTGACATACTGGACATCCTTGTATTGAAAGATGGAATACTTATCTGAATTGTGCATTATTTATAACTACATTAAATTCAATAATAGATCTTTCAGCAAGTGAGAAAAATTCCTATGGGAGCAAACAGTTCTACACAAATTTGTAACCTATTTCTTTTTACTTTGAATATAAATTCCAACTAAGTTAACTAAAATGAATTAAAGCTATTTGCACATACATTTACATAGATGATTATATAACTTTCGATAATAATTCTGCTTTTGAGCAGTTCAAAATTTATCCAAATAGTTAACACTTAATAAATGAATACGAATCAAGATACTATTGAATACCGAGACCTGCTAATTATTAAACACAGCAAAAAATTAAATTATATGATAAAAGAGGAATTCCATTTTCATACTATTAAGCTAATTAATTGGAACTCTAATATCTATAGAAAACACGTTTCATAGCCAAATAATCAGAATAAAAAATATATGTACTGAAATAGAAGATTTACAGGAAGAAATAATAAAGCTAATTAATGTTCAAGTTGATAACCAAGTACCACCAAAATTTATTAATTTATATATTAAAAAGGCAGGCATTAACTTTATAATTTTTTGGCTCTTTTTGGTATGATAGCATTACCTTAAACCTTAGCTGGAAGGTAATGGAGGATATATAAGAGTAAAGGAATTATCTTGTAAATTTTTATTGTAAATAAATTTGTAAATATGTATATTTAATCAATACTGGATTCTTTCCTTTTACTAATAAAGGGCCAACTTTTTTTAAAAGTCTCAATTATAGCCCAAATTGAGTGAAGATTTTAATCTTCTTCTTCTAGTTTTCCATACTTTAGCCAGTATTTAGTTAAGTTTTGATATACTAGTTGAAATCAAGTTCATTAAACTTTCAATATTTTCTTTCATTAAATATAACTTTTAATTAACTTTTTTAAGGAATGTTTGGGAGATTTCTGGGAATTTTTTAGAGGTTTTTTTTAAGGAATTCATTTCAAAAAATTTTTTACTTAAAATTTTTAAGACATTTTAATTTTTAAATTTTACTTTTTAAAACTTATTAAAAAAATTTTTAAACATTTCAGTTTTACTTAATACTTTTTAATTATTTGCAATTTCCACAAAATTTTTTTTTTCACTTAATATTTGCATTATTTGCAATATTTACACAATTTATGTTATTATTTGCAATATTTCTATTTGCAATATAATATATTATTATTTGCAATGTTATTATTTGCAATATTTACACAATTTTGCAATACAAACAGTTTACATTTATTAATTCACAATAACCACTTAACTCTACTTTACTTCAATTAGTACTCTTTTTATGATATTTGCAAAGCAAACTTACATCTCTTGATTGGCTCAGCTACTTAACTCCCTACTAAATAGTTGATCAGTAAAAATTAAAACTTGAATTACATACTTTTAGGATATTTAATTTTTTCTAGATTTATATTTTAATATTAAAGTTTGCAAAAAATTTTTAATATAACAAAGATAGCAGCTTGGCACTCAACTTTACTTACATAAGCGCCATCTATATAATTTGAAGAACACACTTACATCACTTTGAAAATACTTTTGCAGACCCCAACGCTAATATAGTAGGTAAATTAGAATTAAAACTTACTATTTACTTGCTTTAAGTATTTTTTAAATATTTTTTATGTAATATTTAAGTATTTTCTAGATATGAAATTATATTTTTAAGTATATATTTGGTTTTTTTTTTTTAAATTATGAATTAGTTCTTTTGTTTCTTATTTTTTTATATAAATTATGTCTAGTTCCTTTTTTATTGATATGCATATTCGTTGTCGGGAAGGTTTCTGTAGAGAAAGGTTTCTAAAATGCATTGGTTCTAAATTAATTTTTCTGGAAAATTAATTTAAAATTTTTTTTTATTTTTTTAAAAAAGTTTAATTTAATACTTGACTTTACATTGCTTATCTCTCAAAAAACTTCATTGGTATTTCTTTTTGGACATTCTTCACTCTTTACTTTTGGTTTTCACTTTTACCCTTGCCTGCATGAATGACAAAACACGAATTGAATGATTGGAGAATTAGGTTTGGAGGCAACTTCCCCTTGATAAGTCTGTCTCCTGCCTGCTCAACAGTCATTCGCTTATGCATTTAAAAAAAAAAAAAAAAAAAAAAAAAAAAAGATTAATTTTAATTTGCTAAATTGGTGAATTTATTTTCATTATTTGCACTTAATTTGCTTATGCTATCTGAATTTAAATGATATTGTAGATTAGTTCAACAATTAATCATTTATTATGTTTGCACATTAAATTTAATCTCAATTTATTAACTTTAAATTTGCTTTTTACGTATATAGCGAATGTTTGTTAAATTTAAATTTCATTCCTTGCAGCAATGGCACAAAAGAATTAATTAATTAAATTGTATTTAAATTAAATTATTAAATTCAATTTATTCTTATGAAACAATTATATATATATATATATATATATATAAAAACAACACCCACTCCACCTACCCCCTCAAAGTTATCATTGTTCTCCCATTGCCACTTATTAAAAATTTATTTTAAAAAGAATATAAGAAATCTAGATATTTATTTAATCTGTAAGTATGTACATAAGCATGCATATTTAATAAATTTATCTACAATTCATACAGCGATATAAATGATAATATTAAATAGCTGGAAAACTGGAAATAATATTTTATTATTGGAATGATATTTATTATTTATTTTATTGTTTAGAAAGAGATATTTTATTACACAAAAATTTTAAACACTAAACATTTATTTAATTATTACATGCATGTTTGTTACATGCAATACAAAGTTATTTAAAAAACAAAATTTTTAAATTGGTTACAATTGCACACAATATATATAAAATACACTTTGGCAGCAATATTATAAAGCTTTTGTAACCTTATTTACTAACCCCACAGCCATATCTATCTTTAACTGCTTACTTACTCTTTTCCCCTTACAATTTTGTTTTTCTAACAGCATAGCTATAAAGTTTTGAGGCTTAGCTTTTGAGAATCAATGTTTTAAAGTAATGAAGTAACATGCTTCGTACACATAAACAGATATTAAAATGCTAGCATGCTACAAATCATAAACATGGCACATGATTCTAGGTGACAGTATTTCTTAAGTTGATACTGAACATAAAAAATATAATTTTAAAAAAATTTTAAAATAAGCATACATAAATTACTAAAATAATTTCAACTCAGGAAGCACCACCACATTATTACAGCAATATTAATTTTAATAAATTAATTTTTAAAGGGCAACCACCACAGCAGTTAGTTCATCAAACATAAATACACTATAAAAAAAGACACTTTTTTGAAACTCACCTTTATCAAGATACCACTTAAAAACAAATTCAGAAAATTTCTGAAAAGAAATAATATTCTCCTCAAAATAGTGTTAATAAAAATGAATTTCAATACTAACACATTCTTAATTTTTATAATAAAATAATACTTTTCCAGGCAAACATTTTCAAAATTATGTTTTATTTCCATACCTGTTCAGAAAATTGTACCATATATCTTTGAAGCCTATCCTTGTTTCCAATTTCTTCACAAATGCGAATTAACAGACCAAAATCTAAGTATTTTTCAGCCAAAGCAGCAGCTCTTTCATACTGCCCAACAGCCACTATAAAAACAAAGCAAAACAAACTACTGGAAACATCATAAGCAGAAAAATTCCAAAAAATAAGAGCTTGAACCATTTCTGAAACGAGTAAAATACATCTACTAAAACACAGTTAAAAAACATTTAAAAGTGATCTTACATAAGGGCTCTATGAAATCATTTCGCTCTTTTTCGTATTCTTTCCTTAATGTTGTTTGTTTATCAGGCTTTAATGAATCAAGTTGACTTTTGTAGCTGGCTAGATAAAAGTCAAGAATTTCCATATACTGCTGAAAAAGTACTCCTTGGATTTGTATGCTGTCCGTAATTTTCATAGCATGATGCACATTTATATCAAGCTGAAACAAAAATATTTAATTATTTGAATTAAGATGAATAAAAATGACACGAATAAAAATAACATGAAATTGAACACAGAATTGCATCAATCATAAAAAGATCTCTTTTCGCATCTAAGTAAACATAAATTAGGTTAGGTTGCAGGGTACATTAAGTTTCTTACATTAAGCAAGAAACACAAAAAATCAACAGTGTCATAAACAACATTCAAATTGCAGATCTTCCAGTTTGTTAGCTAGATATGTAACAACTTACCTCATGATAGCAAGCACACAATTGTTTGCACATGTGCTTCAAAAAGTGCACAATATGATACATAACAGCAAGTGCATAATATTGTTTTATGATTTTTCCTTTTAATTTTATTATTTTCCATAAAACAATATGGATCTATCTGTCTTTGAGGGGATAGCTTTACAAAGAAATTTTTGAAGGAAACAATTATTAGTTCCTCTAATATATGAGATAAACTTTGAGAACTACATACAGCCAACCTTCTCAGTAAGCATGAACTTATTTTTAGTCCAAAGGAGTTTTGTCCCTGAAGGACTATTGTTTTTGACATATTTTGAACTGTATTCCATTAGAAGACATGCAGACAGGCAAATTTGGCTCATTGTCCCATATCATCCCTGGTATCAAGCTGATTGTCCTAAAGATTTCTTGCTGTTGATTGCAATAGATGTGTTCAGACAACACTTTCCCGATTCTTCAGTAGACACCTGAAAGGCCTTACTTTTGAGAGAGGCCTCAAGATGCACCTAATTTGTTCTAAATGTCAAAATGCACCGGCACATATCCTTGAGCGCCTGGAGTTGTCTCTTGAGGACCTTTACAAGTCTCATAAGCTTGTTTTCGATTTTCTGAAGGTGAATGGACTCGTGTACCTCGTCTAGTATATTCCTAGATATGCAGATTAGTAACAACAACATTCTATCATGGGAACTTGGCACAATATGAATTAATTTCTTTAAAGGATAGGTTCATTTATTTGCAATGCAAAATTAAATAACAATTATAAATTTTATCTAAAATAAAAATTGATAACAATATTCACTCCCATTTATAGAAGAAAATTATGAAACATCTTGTCCAACCACTGTGAAATTGTGTAAATAAAGAATACAGTCATTTGAATAAGTAATCACTTTCACAGAATAAACTAGATAATTTAATGTCGTTCTGCCCAGCTGTAGTGTGTGCCCAAATTAAATTATATGTTTTTTAAAAATGGCAAATTTGCTGTTTAACATGTAGCAGCTTTTAAAATATTGAGGAAAAATTCTTTGTGATTCTTAAGAAAATTCAAATACAGTTTTGCAACAAACAGTTGGAAAAGGTTTCAAAAATCTGAACTAGATAGTTTTAAAAAATGAAAAACTATGATCTAATTCAAACTATGATGATTTTTAAACTATGATGCATACTCAATTTTTTCTGATTTCATCAACAGTAGAAACAATAGACTGGGGCTTTTAAAAATTGCCAAATAATATGAAATTCACATAATATAAGAACATTTAAACTTTACTGTGTGTCTTTTCCATAGCATTTCGCAGCCTTTTATCAGCAAAATAAAAATGAGAGAAATAGTGAGTAGCAAAGATAGTGCTAGTACACATTGGTCTAAGTTGAATAAATTTACTGAAGGAAAGTACCAGGATGATGACACAATTTACTGGAAACACAGGACTCCTATTTATCACATAAAAAGGGCAATAGACTTGCTGAAGTAATATTTTCAACATCACTTTTATGCTAAGCAAGATGACCCATGAAATATTCTTCTAATTCTGCATTATTACTAAACAATCTAATTTTTAACATAATTATAAAACAAATATGCAAATAAAATCAGTTTTGTAAAATTTATCAAATAGTATTAAATATTTTACATTTATAACAGATGGCAGTGTCAGATTTCATCACACATGTGATCAGTTTAGTAAACGGCAGACAAATTTTATGTTAAACAACATTGGTTAAAATGAGAAGTAAAATCATAATCAGCATGAGAGCTTGAGAAGCTTGGCTGTTGCCACCACTGCTGCTTGCCTGGAAAGGGATCTGCCGATCAGAACAGACCTGAACGCCTGATGCTGGCACAACTGGCAAGTGCTGAATGTTAGTTATGCTCTGTTTACAGTTACCGTCGAAGCTTTGCAAAGAGTTAAGGAGTTGTAACCCAGTTAATACTTTAAGATTCCAATAAGTCTCTAAAGCATCAGAGGTGATATGTTGTTTTGTATTATTTTAAGTCTCACTAGATGTAAAGAATTAAATTTTACATTTTTGTGTTGTATCTTGTGAAAACAGTAAGGATTAATGAAAAGCAATAATTCGTTTTAATATGCAGAGATAACTTTTAAAGGTGAGCAATTAGTTACAAATAATTAAATTAGGTAGCTAGATACCTTAGTCATTATAGATTTATTTGGCTCCAATTAATTTTTTTAAAAAAATATTTATTAAAAAAGCACTATCAAAACCCCAGTCTAACACTTCACAGTTTAAAATACATGTAATTTATGACATTGATTCTTAAATGATATTAGGATAATTACATATTAAAATCTACAAAACGTTTATATTCTTCAGAGTTTTGTAGCAACAACACACAACAAAATATGTATGAGCTTTTTTAATTTGAAAACGTCCCAGACATTTTGAATATTTTATATTAATTTCCTTCTCTTTAAGCATCTTTTCAAACAATAAGAAATTTGTTTAAGTATGCAAACCAATGTTCCCACTAGTTTCTGCTTTATCTCCTAACTTGTCAATCTCTCGACAATGTACCTATGAGGCTTTACTTGAGCTAGTAAAGTTAAATTGCCCAAAACCCCTGACAGATGTGAAACAAATTATCACTTTGTCTAAAAGTCAGATTAAGATTTAAATATAACTCTTTATTTAAACAGAGAAAATAAATGAATGTTCTTATGCTAACAAAATCAGCTACAGTTCATGGTAATATAACTAAACAGAAACAGTCAAATTCAAATTAAAAATGTGGACTAGTAGTCAATTTAATTTTAATATAAGCTGGCTTACTAACTCAATCGACGTAACAAATTCAAATGTCGGCAATAATAACACAAGCCGAATAATTACAAATTATCATAGCTGGCAAGAACTATGCAGTGTGCAAGTGGAGGCCAGAAACAGGCTTTGCAAAAATCACACATCTCAGTTTAAATACTATCTAACATATTTGCATTCTGGCGAGGAAACAGAAAAGAGAAGTTGTAGTAAAAGCTGAAACTATAAATGAGTGGTTACATAATGTTAAAACTGCACATATCTTTGAAGAATGATTTTCCTTCTTTTTATGTATTCAGGTTCTTTCCTCAATAAGTTTCCTCTTCATTTTAGAATTTTGAATTTAATTAAAGATTTCTGTTATTGTAAAAAAAACTACATGCATTTATAATGTATAGAAGAAACTTCTAATTTTATTTCTTTACTAATATGAACAATGAGAATAAATATTAAAAGATATCATTTTATAGCAGAATTTTCAGAATTTAGTGATGCACTGAGCAACAAAATCTAGAAATGACAAAAATTTAGAATTTAGGACCCACACAGATTGCATCTGATGAGAAAACACCTAGAACCAGCACTGTGTATGGAGCATTGAGACATATAAGATGAATCTTTAAAACTGTAAGTTTTCAATTTCTTTATTATTAAAAAATTCCTTTTTATAGATGCCTGTCCATGTAATAAGATTAGAAGCCTTTTTGATATTTTCCACGCTTATGTCTAGCCAAAAGAAGAGGAAATAAAGGGAAGATAAACACAATAAGAAAAAAGCTTTCTGGATCGGAAGTTAAGCATTCAAATATTGTCTTCATAGTTCTATCAAAAATTCTCCAAAAAGTAAGAAATTCATCACAAACTTCCTATAAAGTATATCCATTATATGGTAGTTCCATGAACATATTTTTTATTTTGTCAGATTTTTTTGAAATTTTCTAGAATTGTAGGTCTATAAAAATCATGCCTTGAAATCCTTCTAAACTTTCGAAGTTACAATGTCTAATATCCAAAAGAAAAATTACTCCTACCAATTCTACAACAGCCAAAAGTATTTTGGAAAAAAAAAAAAAAAAAAATATTAAATGATTTTTGCTAAAACTGATGTACATTCTGAGACATGCAGGAACCATGAAGCCTCTTACTAGAAAAAACAAAAAGAAGATATTTTAAAATAATTTAAATACCTATTTTGCTTTCACTAAGAATTGTTTTGCAAATTGTGCTTTGTAGCATTTATTACGTAGTTTATTTTTCAGATTGAAAATATTGTAATAATAAGTTCTCCAAATGGAAAGTAGTATCACTTTATAATATGAAAGGGAAAATAAAAATGTTTTATTTTAATGTTGTTTATTAAATATAATTTTAATACATTACCATTATTTTAATGAAATTTGTCAATGGTATAATCTTAAAAAAAAATCGTCAAAAAATTCAAAAGTCTCTGAATTAAACATTTTTTATAGAAATTGATCTTAAAATCACCAAATTTAGAAACATTTAATAAAAGAATTCACATCGCCAAAAGCGATAAACTGTTTAAGAGAGCTTCATCAGAAAAAATGAAATAATTTCAAAATGGTTGTGTTTCATGTCTTCTCTAGAAACTCGAGTATTACACTGTTTATATTAGAAATAGAGACAAATTCAAATGGTAGCCTAAAAAATACATATTTGTCAGCGAATCACCAAATATATTCCTCCAAAATGAATATTCACAGTAAAAAAATGGCATTCTTAAAAAGAGACAGAAATTGCTGATGAGTAAAATTAGAGACCTTCTGTCAATTTTGGCCGAAATTAAGGACTTTTAAGGACCAAAAATCAATTTCTAAAAATCTAAGGACTTTTAAGAACTTGTAAGGACCATACAAACCTTGTTCATTTGAGGTGTAAAATATTTGGTTTTGCTTAACATATAAACACAAAGAATTCATGTGATTTGATTTTAGTAAAGGCCATGTCATTATGGCTTTAATGCTTTGGTCTCTGCATTTCTGAAATAGATTAGTTCTATATATTTATTAGTAGCTATGTGAAATAATCCAAAACAAACTTTCAGCCACTGGCAAGGAAAAGCCAGAAATACTTAACTGATGGCACAGGAGTGATACTATGACTGATATTATTCAGTCTGTGATTTCAACTGCGGTAACGAAACCTATGTATTGAAGTCTACAACTCATTGCAGTCTTGGATATGGATTTCTGCAATCCCAGATCTATTTGTATGCTTATGTTCCCAAAAGTGGAAGCACCATGAGACACACTCAGAATCAGTACAGATGAAAGGAACAGACAGATGGAAAGAATATGATGGTCTAAGTAATATTTTCTTGAAGAACACTTGGACTTTGGATCCCTTTTTTTCATTCCTCTAACTTGCATCTAATTAAATGTAAGACTAACCAACCACACATCATAAATGCACTCCTTAGTGAAAATGTCTTTCAACAAGGCAATATTCCACATTACACTGCTACGAAAATTTGGACTGGCATAATATTAGCATAAGTATAATCACCTTGGCACATTTGGATGACATTTTACCCATAAAAAAATAATGATGAATTATAGCTGTAAAAATTACTTATTACATGTATTTTATGTTTCAATTAGGTAATAATTATGAAAATCAACTAATATTTTTTGCTGTTCTGGCAGAAATTTTATGATATTCGCTTTAGAAACAGATTCAAAGCAATATTTCAATTTACCGATTCTGCAGAAATCCCACTAAAGTTTTTTTTTCCATTATAGGCAAATTTCACAAATACCTATTTCAAAATTAAGACAAAAGATATCAGAATTTATGTAAAAAACGCGGAATACAACAACAAAAAAAGTGAAAAAGAGAGAAAGAGGGAAAGTTTAGCAACTTCTACTAAGGCAGGTAAGCTAGTATTTAAATGATGAAAAATTAAGGGGCATTACTTATTAAATAAAGAAGTTTCATTTCCTTCAGAATTTCATAGGAATGATTAGCAAAACTTTGGTGAAATCTCCACTAACGTTCATGGTTTATTGGTAGTCAACTTTCGTGGTCAACAAAACAATATATAAGTACCCGAACAGTTATCTGCGATTGGTACAGAATGCATTCTCATAAAAAAATTAAATGGTTATTACTCGTGCAATAAATACTAACTGAAAATAATTCACTGCTTGTTGTTCTGCAGAAGGCAGGTCCTGAATTTTAATTATTATTATTTTTTTCTTCAAAATACTAGAAAATAAATACAGCAGTAATGGTTAATTTATTCCTTGTTCCTTGTTCAAAACTAAAGGTGGTTTATTGAGAATCAGTCGGGGTTATATCAGATGAAAACGTACATTATGAGAGTATTGTTCCATATAAAGTTTGTAATAGTACAATTTAACCTCTAGCAAAATGACTAATGATGCAACACCAACAGCAGAAAAGAAAGTAAAGCTGTGAGTATTGCAACTGAAAGATCTATTGCTAAAATTCTGGGTTTAAAAAGTCTTAACTTATTATCAGTGGCTAACAAAAAGAAATTACAGTACAGATCCAATTCATAAGAATGGGTTAATTAACATAAAATATATTTTATAATGTCAGCTTATATGTTTTTACAGCATTAAATAAGCTAATATGTGTCTTTTAAATATTGCAGGCTAAAATGTGTTTTCAGTTGAATTCAAGAATATTGATGATATGACAATAATAATTTTAGTAAATTACTTAAATCTGAAAAGCCTAACCTACTACCGTGTTTATAATATGAATTTAAAAAAAAAAAAAAAAAAAAAAAAACTTACTATTTTCATTTGCTTACGAATTAAGAATGAAAACTCGATTAAGAACACCAATTATTAAAACTATTTTATTCATCTGTGAATATAAGCATTAAAACAACATTCAAGTTTCACATGAAATATACAATCATAACTTAAAAGGTATTTTAAAAATAATAGAACATACTTGTTGCCTCAAATATCCTCTTATCCCAAAACTTCCATTTCTTGCAGTCCATGGCAAGAATTCACCTTCAAGATTTCTATCATAAAGACCATATATTTCTGCCTTGTTTCGACGATACTCAGTGATTGCTTCTAATAAACCCTTTAACAGAAAAAAGGGCATAATCATATTAAGATGAAATTCAAGAAATATTTCAAGGACCTTTCTTGTATGTACAATAGCATAAGACATACAGATAATATTTTGCATTTCACTGAACTTTAGCATATAAATACACAATGTGTTATTTCTGACTATTGAACAGGAAGCACTCTACTGTTATCGGAACCAGATTAAAAACTGTATGCATGTATGCTCATGTGTATGTATCTATGTGCATACATGTGTGTATATACACACATATACATACATATATACATGCATACATGAACACATATATCCATACATACAGGCATAAATACATATATTTCTGAATCTGGTCCTGGTAACAGAAGAGTACATAGTAGGCTCCTGAATTATTTTTTGTGGTTTTTTTCCCTTGTGCATTGCAAAGATGAGGCAGTTTCCATTAAAATGCTGTCCATGACAGTTTCTTCCCCCACAAACAGGTAGATTTCATATACTTTTGCTGTAACCAAAGCCTAGTTAAGCAGTATAAATAGCTGACACGCATTTAATGCTATTATATCATCGGCCATTAAAATTACTGTGCCAAAAACAAAATGCACAAAAAACCTGTAATTTATGTGTAAGGTAGAACATCCTGAGACATAAAAATGGCTAATATTTCACAGCATGCACACATTATGGGCAGAGTAATCAGACTTCAAAGCAACATAAAAAGATAGATTGAACTGATAATTTTTCTTTCAGAAATCATATTTGTCATTTTTGTGTGTTGAAAATCATGTGACACCTCATGTAAAGAGAAACTCCCACCAGCAAATCTCCGAATTTGATAACAGGATAATTGCAGCCTACAGGGACTCCAAATTATACCACACCACTGTTGCTTGAAACTTAATGACTGTTATGAGAGTTTGCAGTTGATGATTCCAGGAACAACTCTGAGCAATACACACAGCAGTATATACAAGATCTCAATGCTCTCTACTTACCAATACCTAAGATGGCAGGCATCTTGTTTGCATCGCTGTTGCAGATCTTGTATGGGTCAGGAAATTTGGTGTGTTACACAGACATCAAGTATATACAATGATGTTTGCAATATTACAAACTACAAGCAAGGTGGTCATTGCTTCAGCTTTCTTTGAAATGGTGCATTCAGCAATGCACATGGATGAATTAAGAGCATGTTATCTTTTCTGATGAATCATGTTTTGCTTACAGCATTATGATGGTCATATTTATGGATGAAAACACCATGGGAAGTGAAAATTGGAAGCTTACATTCTTTATCATAGTCCTACATTTGGTACTCATATCATCCACTCTATCTGGTACTTTGTCTATTCATTGTTACATTATTTAGGTTTTTATTGCTCATGACTGTGATATTTCTTTTGGGTCCCTATTGCCCCACCTTTCAACAGGTAACATATTGTTACATGTTGCCCATTCTACATTTCCTCACTACCCAGGATATTTGATCACAGCTTTGGATGACATGTTCTCTCACTGACAAGTTAAAAAAATATCTTTCAGCCACTATGTCAGATGAATTCTGATATAGAATTGAATCTGCATGGACTGCTATATTCGAAAATGCCGTCAAGAATCTATTTGACTCCATCTTACATCTTATCTCGATCTTACATCCTATCCAATCTTACAACAACTGCTACTAAAGGTGTTGCTTGGAGTATTGATTTCTGCAATCGAAAACAAGCATGTTTTCACAAAACTGGGATAACACACTCAAAACAAAGATTTCAAATCAGACAAATATAGTAATATTCAATTAATATATTAATATTCAATATATAATTAAAATATCCACTGCATAAAAAATGACCTAGTCAGAGAACTTTCAAAATTTAAAAAAAAATTAAAACATTTTCAATGTATCTTATGCAAGTTTTTTAATTTCCCACTAGTTACACTGCATTAAATAAATACCAGAAGCCTGTATATATTCAAAACTAACATTATGCCTCATAATAAATTATTATTAATTTTAAAATAATTTGTATAATTAATTTTTTAGAACACCGAAAAAATTCGTAACAAAAACATTATTTTAGCCTTTGTGTACATATGAAATCTTGGCATACTTCTTTAATACTATAACTCTTAATTTTAAGACACTTTTTAATTAGCTAAAAAAATATATACTTACAGAAAAAATTTTGTTTATTGTCATGATTGCATTCAGAGCTTTAGATAAACTTTCATCCGCATTTAGTTCTTCAATTTCCCAATCAAGTAAAGATGGAAATACAGTATGAAAGGCCGAAACCTAAAAGAGGTAAAAAAAGCAAAATTGTTAGTGATGCTAATACAATACAGTTAAAACTCAGTAAAAATTTCTAAGACAATTTTTGCTTTCCTTTTTCTCAGATTAAAAACACAAAAGTTCTTTTAGTTCTTATTATAGTTTAAAAAAATTACATTTGATCATATTTAAATTCTTGTTAATAATACCACTTTCTTTTTCAAGCTTAAGGGATCATTATCAGTTTAGTAGATTGTCATATAGTAAATGGAGTCTTGAAACCAGACTTAAGTAATTCCATATTTCATTCATGATGAGACTGAAATTAAGAATTCAGTTTTAAGAATTAAAGCCCGTTTCCACTGCTGCATATGTGCTGCGGTGTGTATGAGTTTCTCCAATCAGCAAGCGAATTCACTTTGATTGACATCTGCAATCCGGTCAATGTGCAGTTACGGATGACAGACAGATGAAGTTCAACTTCTATCCGTATATGTGCGAATGAGTTGGGGTCACATGGTAAAAAAGGAGCAATTGGGTGTTGTCATCAAAAATTAAAGGCGGCAGAAGTAGAGATGAACGCTTGCTTAGGGAAAGAATGTTCTGCTAAAAAATATTCATTTCTGAATTAACATTACAGCAAGAAATGTGCGCACTGAAAAAGACAGCAATCAGCTGAATTCAGTTTTAAAAAAAGATACTAAAAATAAGATAACTGCAACTACAATGCTAGTTCGCAGATAAAATTAGGCATTCAAGAAATTCAATTCAAGAAAATCAGGCGCAAAAATTATAATTCCAAGTCCATGAAATAGCAAAATTTGTCCTGACAATTATTTCTTAGTTCTGCATACAGAGTTACCTTTAATGAAAATGAACGTCTGACTATATCAAACTGCTATAGAAAATCAGATATGGCATTAAAAGATTTGTTATTTTTTTCTTTTGAAACAGGTAAAAACTAAAAACATTAATTATTATTCCACTGCATTAAAAAGTATGTTAAATTTGAATTTCTCTATTTATAAATATACCTTTTTGGCTAACATATGTGTGTAAGCACATGGAATGTATTTTTAGCGCAGCCTGTTTAACTTCAACTGGAATGCCACTTTAAAATATAATATATTTTGTAAGAAATGTCCTAGAAGCTGAAATACAAACTCTGGCGAATATTTTAGAAGATAGCACACTGAAATAGGACCAAAAAATTTAGTTTTAAGAATTTATTTACTTGATGATGTATATAAGCCAAAATTGCTTACCATGCCCATGTGATGATAACTTAGTGGTAAAGCTGATGGTAGCGTGGTTTAACTTTTGGGGTCGCGAGTTCAAATCCCATATGCTTTTTCCACCCTGTCGGAAATTTTCTTGTTCCAATTTGATCTATATTTGTGTTTTGTAATTTATTTCCATTATTATATGCATTAAATTTAATGTTTTATTTATTTAAATTTTCCCTGCAAAAAAATTTTGAAAATTATATAATACGAATTTAAAGCATGCTCCCTGTACATATACATATATTTTTTCGTTTCACTTTTATGTGAATGTGCATACATGTGCTCATATTTTGGGATGTTTCCAGCTCTAAACTTTCACTACCAATTAAACATGAGACAGCATTAATGCCCTAAACATTTAAAAAAAAAAAAACTTACTATAATAATTGCTTTTAAATTCAATCCTCTCCAGAAGAAGCGCAGGAATTAATTAATTAAATATTTCCATTTTCTTTACCTAATATGTATATTTGTATATATATATATATATTATAAAATAATAAAGAGAAAAGCTTATTTTTATACTTCTTCTATAAAGAGATTGAATTAAAAATTTTAAATTAAAAGTAAATTTTATGGATTATGCATAAAATATAACTGTGCATAGTTGCATTTTAAAAAAAACGAGATTTCTAATAAAATCCAGCTATGACCCTGAAGAAATTAAAAATGAAGAAATTGATGCTAAAATTTTATATATTACCTGCCTTTCTCCAATATATATATTTTAAAAATATACAATCTCACATGGCAGTCAGCAAATTTTGTGTAAATATTGTGACCTTTACATTCAGTTGCGCTGTATTTTTAAAGTACAAACTACTTTTTAATTTCGTTAACTTTATTTATTTATTCATCATTTATTTATTTATTTTCAGTAACAAAACATTTTAGTTTTAATAATATATTATATATATTTCATTAATATTTAAGGCTTCTAGAAATACAAAGAAATTTTTAAAATTTACTTCAGCTTCTATGCAATTAGTGATGTTCATAATATGCATTATAACTTTACTTATCTAAAAATTGCTAGTGTACTTTAATTTTACAATTCATAAGCAGAAATAAAAATTTCCAATAACATGGAATTTAAATATCTTAAGAATCCAAATCCCATAAGTTAAATACAGAGACAACTGGTGACAATAAATCCAATCGACCACCGAACTTCTGTACATGTAAATCTAACGCAATAGTGTAAACGGTCTTCCGTCTGCGTTTCTCCCAATGACGCTACATGTTCGCAATGCACTAATGGAAATGGGCCTTTAATCTCTTTTACTAATGTTTTGCTGAATGAGATTTGCTTTGTTTTCCAAAACAAATATTACACGGTTATCTAGAAAATAAATACCATTAAGTAAATGAAAAACACAATATTTATTGGGGAAAAAACAATTCTGTTACATATTTGATGCTTCCTTCACTTCTCTACATAATCTCCACCTTCATTTAAACATTTGTCATATCTGTTCACGAGATTAAGATTTCCCACATTATATATAACTCTGCTGTCAGTTCATTAAGCCAGGTGATTAAAATTCTTGACACAATATCACACTGATGGAGACGCTTTTCTTGATCAGATCATGATTAGTGAAGAGACCTAGGTGTGTCACATCATGGCAGAAAGCAAGTGCCAATCACCTGAGTGGCATCATCCCTCATCACCCAAAAAACCAAGAAAATTCAGATAGACTCTTTCAACACAAAAGGCAACAGTCTTTGGGACTAAAAGTGTTCTTTTGGTGGATTTTAAGCCAAAAGGCACTACGATCAATGCAAATAGTTATTGTGAGATTGTGAGACTAAGAAAAATAAGGTGAGCCATGCAAAACAAGAGGTGAGGAATGCTTTCTGGAGGAATTGTGCTTTTTTAAGACAATGCCCATCCTGACACTGCTGCTGGAATTCAAGAATAACTGGATGGTGAATTTTTTAACATCCATTCTATAGTATGGACCTTGTTCCTAGCACCTTTTCCCTAAGCTGAAAGAGCTTCTGGGTGATATGTTTTGGAAGTAATAAAGAGTTATCATCTAGACTAATAAACTGGCAGCAGAAGAGCAAGCAATTAACTGGCACATGGGAATTCTGAAGCTTCTGATCAAATACAACAAATGTTTAAATGTAGGAGGTGATTATGTAGAAAAGTGAGAGAAGCTTCAGGTATGTAACAGAATTGTTTTTTTCCAATAAATATTGTTTTGTTTTTTATTTTGTATAACTAAACCGTCTTTATTTTCTGGATGATTCTCGTATTATCAAACTGAAGCATTAGCTAAGGGCACTTCTACAGTTCAGTACTCACTAATATTTACATGTACTAGTCTGAGGTTAAATTACTTGAACTAATTTTTCCATTCTGGATTCCTTTGTTGATAACACTTTTTGATGATACTAAAGAGAATTTAATAAATATTTTACCTGTTATGAATTTCATTGAGCCAATCATTTGATGCATTTGAAATAGAATCAGACAACTCCCTTTCTAGCCTTGATATTGTAATTACCATAAATAAATTTGATTTTGGTACTATTATTTACCTTTTTTTCTGTTTGCTTCCCTTTTTATGCCAAATTCGGTCATTATATCAAACAAAAAATGGCTGCATTTATTTCTTACATATATATCTTCCTCTCAAGATGCAATTTTCATTATCTTCAGAAAATACTAAATTATTTGAAACCTGTTGCTACTGATAAAGACCTTTACTCAAAGAGTTAAAGATAGTGATTTATCTTCTTGTCATCACACAAATGACACGATGACAAAAAATAATCATACTTTAGAAACAACTATAATAATTTTGTTGTCATCACATTTTTTCTGCTTCTATCAGTAATAAAATTGCTCGGACTCCTTGTAAGTGTAGTTTTGAGGTAATTTTTACCTTATTAATAAAACTCTTTGCCCTTAAAATGCCCACCTCTGATTTTAATTTTTGGAGAAATTATATTTCTTGCTAACATATTTTGACATATATAAACCAAACAAATATAGGATTAAAATTTTGTATTATAGGCAATGAATTTGAAGTTAAAAAATAAATAAACAAATAAACTTTCAATAGCTTCTTATAGCTGATCCTTTAATCATAATTTTGACTTAGTTCTGTTGAAATCACCCACAAAACTTCTTCAGCTGATGAAGTCTTTAACATTTACAAAAATCAGATTACTTTAATTCAGTGCTCCGCAACCGGTGTGCCGCGGCACACTGGTTTGCCATGAGTAGGATATAGGTGTGCTGCAATCAAATACATGTATTTGACATTTTGCAATTTTTTATCATGTATTTAATACACAATGACAATTTTTTTCCCTTAATAATGTCTATTTTAAATGTTTTTATATATTTCACTGTTGTGTGTGTGATTGTAAGTGTGTCAGCATTTGAATTTTTTCGGCACTTCCTTGATAACTCGGAACTCTTTGGTGTGCCACGAAATTCTAGAAAGATTTTTTGTGCGTCGCAGGTAAGAAAAGGTTGAGGAGCACTGCTTTAATTCATGACAAAACCATTTGGCAAAACCTGGATTGACATTAAATTCAATCCAGGTTTTACAAACTTTCAAAATTCTAATACTTTGGCTTTGATGTTTTTATTTCTATTTCCTTTTTGCTTGATAATATGACAATGTAATCATTTCAATCACTGGCTATGCTTACTTATTTCCATAACATCATTCCTTTCAAATTAATTTTGAACATAAATCTTCTATTCATTAATTTCATTTTTAAAATGTTTACCATTTTGAAAAGTATTAATTGGAGTGCCTTTAATTTGAGTTAAAACTGCAGAAACTGACAATAATGTCATTGAATATCTGCAAATAAAATATGTATATACAGCAGATGCTTAACTAGTTCGCGACGAGCACCTCTGTTACCGAAGCATTCTCTTGGGACGGTGAATTAACCGGATGCGTCGTCCTGTGAAGGCGGGCAATTTACGCTGCTAAGCCTAACTTTGGAAAAAAATTCGCATAAATGAAATTTGTCATCCAATTTTTCCAATTTTGGGTACATTATGAGAAGAACATACAGGTAGTCGTCAAAATTAATTTTAAGCCTTTATTATTATATTTTCCTTAAAAATTTTATAAAATACTCATTCTAGAATAATATAATTTTCCCCTTATTCCATAAATAAATATATATAGAAAAATATCCAAACAATTGCAGATTTTATTTAACACAACACACAATTAAAATTAAAAAATATTAAAACTGTCTTTCCTAAAAATTCAATGAGCAAACAATGAAAAGTAAGCAATGTTTCAAAATGAGACAGTCTATGATATTCTTTGAAACATGGGTGTACGCAAAGTCCAATGTTGAATTAGTCACAGGAATATAATATCTGCTGCTATTTTACTCAGCAAATTTGACTCATTTAGCATTTGTATATGTTCTACAGTCAGACAGTGCTTTCGTTTTGCCATTTAAAAAAAAAAAAAAAAAAACTTTCGCTAAGCGATACAAAATATTTGTCTCAATGCGGGGAAAACTCAAAGAGTAATAAAAAAGTCTCTAATGATAGAACATCTACTCCACTATAACCGATAAAAAATAAAATAAAAATAAGAAAAATTAATAAATTAAACTAAAAGTATTCCAGAGCATCGAGAACATGTTCATTTGTTTATATAAAATGATCCAGTAAGAGCCATTACATTACTCAACACTAACGAATTAGCAATTGTGTATATTCTACATTTAGATACTGCTTTTGTTTGCCATTAAAAATGATATGTTTCGCTGACAATTAAAAATATTCATCTCAAAACACCAAAAATCTAAGAGTAATAAAAAAAATCTCTAATGATAGAACATCTACCCCACTACTATATTGCAAAAATAAAAATAAAAAGTCAAATGACACAGTTAAAGAGACATTATATTGCTCAACACACACCCACGAATCTCACTCTCATTCCGAAACAAAATACCAAAAATAAAAATCATTGCATAGGAATGAAGGTAAACATACTTAACTTTGGATATATTCCCCATAACAGGCATACAGCTACATCTAGCGGCAACAAAAAATATTAATTAATTATTCTATCTAAAAAGTCAAATGTTGTACGCCCGGCCAGTAGAGTGAATTAAATGGCAATTCAAATATGACACAACCGGCCGTGAAGTAATGTTCGCTACTGATGCACATATGATACATCCGTAGTGAATGGGTTAATGTTACTACTCTCATATTTTCCTTTGATGCAGTTAAAAAAAAGCATCCCTTCACAAAAAAGAATGCAAATACACAAATAAAATAAAAAGCACTGAATAAATATGAATGATATTTTCCCAAGTTCTTAATAATACCAAAACTTATCTATGTAAAATGCATGTACTTTAAAAAAATAGATATACACACATTAAAATATTTCCTGTACAAGCTTAATAATTAGAATAAAAATGTTATTTCATTACAGAAATTTTATCATTTTTCTTAAGAAAGGTTTTTTTTGCCTCTATTCCCTATAACCTTTTCTACAAAAATTCATTTTTACATGAACTTATGTTTTAAAAGGAAGGTTTTATTGGGTTAAGTACAATTTGTGCAGCAATTATATAGCTCATGGCTATATATTTTTTTCTGAATAAGAAATTAACTGTGATTAAAGCCTAATTAAAGAAGATAATCCAAATATACCCACTGCCAGAAGGTAATCCAAATATACCCATTGCATAAATTCAGAGTCCACTTGAAAATGCAACATCCACTAAAGTGGATATCAGTTTAAAAAAGAAAATTACGATCACATAACCTGCATTACACAAACTCATCACACAAGAGTAATGTAAAAGTACCTCTCGGAAAAACACATCTTGGGGAGTAAGATGGCTTTTAACTTCAATGTCCCGTTTGTATAGGCATTCCCTTATAGCACTTTCAATTACTTCATTATGGCTACATAAGAAATACAGAGAAACATATAAGAGACATACACAGAATATAAGAAATACTGACACAGATATAAGAAATACAGAGAGAATCATGAAATAAACAAATTAATATATAGTTTTCCATGATTTTTGCTTTCGTATTGTCAGATTTTCGTTACATTTAAAAATAAAATTTGAAATTATTCGAGTACCAACACTCATTTCAGTGTGCAGTAAAAAGAATGGTAAATCAGAGATAAGAAAATTTATATGAAAATCGTAAGTAATAAAGACTAAAAGTCCCTATTGAAAATGAGAAGCAAAATATACAATTTTTTTTTTTACATTGCTTCATAATTGAGTGAAGCAAAACTGAATTTCATTTCAGCAAATTGTTAGAAGGAGGGGATGATAAATATTTATGCACTATTTTTTTCTGTTTCTTTTTTTACTATTTATTTACTCTTTCTTTCTTCATTTTTACTCTTTCTTCCTTCTTTCTTTTACTGTTTTTAAAGGAATAAATTTATTTAAAGGCCTTTTTTTTTTTAATTAAAACCTGGTTAATAGCATCTTAAAAAAGAAAAATTTGCAAAATCCTTTTACAGTACATGTTAGTAATTTCAAACAATTCACTAAAATTTACAAATGTCATAGGTTACCTACATTTATTTGCTAATACTCAATTTAATTATATATCTTATCATTCAGAGTTAAAAATCATGTAAGTTCATTAATTTTTTTAAGTTAAAAAGATAGTTTTTTATTACGCTCAAATGCCAGAAAAACTCTTACAAAATAGCTTATGCAAAACACATAGTGATGTCCCCTATGAGCATACTCCATTGCATCTGCTACTGCAAACAGTGTAGATAGCTGCTATTGTGTATAGTGTTGATAGCTGGCAGGGATGTCTGTCAGCATAAGAATGACTAGTAACAATTTAAGCAATTTTCAGTGCAGTATCATAATTGGTGCTCGTGAGATTGGTCACAGCATTTCTGAGTAGAAATGAAAAATGGATTTTCACAGACAACCACTGCAAAAATGTACTGTTAGTACAAGAACATTAGCAAAAACTCCATCTTAAAAATTTCATGCTGCAGCCTCAACAACTATCAGCTTTCAGATTGCACAGTGTACCCTGCAGGATAAGAGCTGATAGCCAGTTTGAATCCCCTTAATGACTGCACAACACAGAGTTATGCATTTCGCTTGCACATGGCAACACCAACACTGGGCATTTCTTACTACATTGGCAAAAAGAAGGATCTGTGTGTGGAGTCCATGAAGCCATGGATAATGTTTGTCAAATGTTAGAATTTCATTCATGTGTAGTTCATCAAAACAATGAATGCAAATTCTCATCATCTCTGGCAAGAAGTTGTCGATAATAATTAAAGGCTAACCAAACTAGAAATGAAGCCAAAGAAACTGTACAAACTGCAACAGCAATTGATGCCGAAGGATTTTCAGATATGGAAAAGCAGAAGACAAAGAATTAATCGAAAAATGGTGAATGAAAATTTTGATGACCTTATAACACCAAGCTAACAGTGCACATTGATTATGAAGAAGATAGAGCACTTTTGATTTACATGAAATGAAATAAATTGTTAAAAAGGTAAAGTAACAGTCTGATTTTGCAATGGAGATTGACCCAAACGAAGAGGGCACATTATGACAGGCTTTGCAAAACTCTGCGTTCTTTACTGCAAAACATTTTAGAATTGCACCAGTCATTATCCCAAGCAAAAAATCGCTAGCTACTACTACTACTACTAATAATAATAATAATAATAAAAACACTCCACCACATAATGGCATGTTTACTTATTAATCAGTAGTAAAAATTCCTTCATTTGACATTTGTTTCACTTTTTTCTTTTAATTCTATCATTATTAATTTGTTTAAATTATATATATTTTCTTAATCGGAATTATAACTAACACATTTTTCCCATACAAAGTTAACCTTGTGGAACATAATTTAGCCAGATGCGCTATGTATTAATGCTGTAACTCTAGTCTTCAGCAAGAGTCTACTGTATAATATCACATTATGGGAAAATAAAATGAACTTTATAAAAAGGTAATAAATCTAAGTAGAATAACCAAAGCTTCAAAGATGATTCACATTCAGATATACCATTAGGAATATACAATATGATAAAATAAAATAAAACAAAATATTACTCAGTAAGAAACAGACGCAGAGCTTTTGCGGCATTAATTTTTTCAGCATGTTCACAAAGTAAGACTTTAGTAGGAATGATTATATCTCCAACTTTTGAAGATGAAAGCTGAAAGAGAAATACTAATTGAATAATCTGAAGTAGAAAATCTTTTTTAAATGCAACAGACTACTTGTATTAATCCTTAATGTTCTATGGTTAAAAACAACACATACAATGATTAAAATTTGACATGTTGTATACATAGATAATAGGATTATACTTTTTAAAAACTGGTTCTTATTACACATGTCATTTTTTATGTTTATTTCAACAAACATTTCATTAATGATAAAATGCCATAAAAGCAATCACAAGAATAACATGAAAAGATATTAGCTACTAAATTATCAAATTTTAATTAAAAAAAAATAACCAAGAAGGAAGTAAGTGAAAATTTAACATTTGGAAACATTTCTCAAAATTATATTTCAATAATATATGACCATAATTTTATTCTAGGAGCTTTAACTCATTGTTCAGATAACTGCTTTACTGTTTAAAAAAATGTCATTTGAACAGTAAAAGTATTATTTTACCTTATCAAACAAGTCAAAGGCTTTTAAAAAACCAAGAAGGCATTCATGAGCTTTTAGTTTATCTTCAAGTTGGTATGATATTATGAGAGATGAAGAGACAGAACCTATAACACACATGCAGTTTTGCACTTATTAAAAAAAGAAGCATTCTAACAAAGTTTACAATATTGTTACATTTTAGCATCTTTTTATTAAGATCACAGTTTAAAAAAAGTTAATATATTACAATGCATATGCAAATAATGTGTTTAATATGCAATATATTGCTATTCATGAAATGACAACCCTGAAAGAAAAGTGGGATTGCCCACATGTTACAATGTTTACATGCCATCAGTCTATAAAAACAAACTTTGCATTTGACAGAAATATATAATAAGTACAGCTTTCAGAATGAACATATGATAAAAGCTGATTACTTCTTAGAGATTTCCAGCAAGTTTTAGAAATCATAAGAAAATTTGAAAAAATTATGCAACCCCAAAATCAATGGATAGGTACGTATTGTCAATACTTTTATAATTTGATGAAGTCCAATCAGAAAATTTCATTATAAATTAAGGCTAGACACTTTTGAATGGTATAAGTACCCCTTATTTTTAGAGATGTGGCTGCACTTGGGTTCCTTGGGTGAATAGCCGTTCATGAGCCTATGACTAAATGGTGGTACAAAACTTGTCACCTGTTAGCTCTAAAATATCATGTGGAATCCTAGATGACAATACATGCTGTAAGATTCCAACTGGTATATAAGGATCTTGAAAATGTCAAGTCAGCATTACTTACAAGAAAGCATAGCTTCCATTGTGAAATTTGAAGGAAAAAAATTATGTTATCTGCAACAGTCGGTTCAGGCCCGTACTAAGGCTGAAAATTCTAACAATCCAGATGTCAGGAATTGGAGAAAGAGTATTGCAGTTCTCCATAAAGAAATCAATTTAGCAAAGTGCAAGAGTTTTAATATTTTTATAAATAATATTGTCTACAGTAAAGACGGTGCTAAGGTTTTTAAATTTGTAAATAAACTGAAACGTGACTACCCCCTTTCCCCAACAGTCCCAATCATTTTTAAAGGAAAGGCTTTAAAATTTAACAAGTATACTTCTAACACTTTTATGGATTTTTTTTTTTGTTTCTAATCAATGTTTGAATGGTGAACTTAGAGATCAAAAGAAAATTGATCAGACTCACATAGGACTTAGGGATTGGGACAAGAGATTTTTAATAGAGACTGACATTTTAGATCTAGAAGAAGCTATTAATTTCCTAAAGATAGGGAAAAGTCCAGACCCAGATAATATACATTTAGAGTTAAGCATCTAGATACAATGGTTAAATGTTCCTTCTATCTATTTTTAATCATGGTTGGAAATCTTATGTACCAACTATGTAGAAAAAAGCCATTATTATGCCTATTTTGAAAAAGGATAAACCTACAGATAATATTAAAAGCTATCAACCTATTGCATTAACTAGTGTTTTGTAAAAGATGAAAGTCTCTAAACTAACTTGGTTTCTGGAGAATAACAGTCTCTTGTCTCTTGAACAAGCCGAATTCAGACGGCATCATTCCATTGTCCAACAGGTATCTTATATTAGTCAAGCCATTAAAAATTCTGTAGACAATCGCTTGTCTGTCCTGGCAACATTTATAGACTTTGAATCACCTAATGACAAAGTATGGAGACTATGTACTATTTAGAAATTACAGAACTTGGAAATAAATGGCAGGATATTTTTTGGGATTAAGAATTTCTTATAACAGTGTTTTTCTGCTGTTAGATATGGCTGCGGCATTTCTAGATTTAAACAGACTGAAATTGGCCTCCCATAGGGAACAGTTATCAGCGCAATTCTTTTTAACATTTTTATTAACGATTTCGCGAACACTCTGGCACCGTAGGTAGATTCAGCCCTTTTTGCAGAATCTACCTACGGTGGTTTGGTTATTTGGAGTAGTGCTTCTAAAATGAAGCAGGATGGTTTAAAAAAGACTCTTACTAGTGTTTTGAAAGAGCAGGAATATTGTGTCTAAAAAATGTTATGAGAATAAATCAGGATAGGAGCACATGCCAGTTCTTCATTCTGAACAGACAGAATTTTACCCCGAAGTTGACATATAAAGGTGTAGATGCTCAACAACGATTCGACAAAATATTTGGGTTGCATCCTTGATCTACACATAAATTGGAGGAAACATGTGGACATTTGAAAAATAAAGCCGTAAGAAGACTCTCTGTTATAAAATGTCTGGCTGGCTCAAAGTGGGGCTGTGACAGACAACTACTCACAAATAGACATTGACAACTACTCACAAATTATACATTCAACCATGTATTCATCAATTATTGGCCATTGCAGTAAGATCCTCATCACCGCTCCAGAGAATGTAGTCCAGATCCCCGAAGTCTTCCAGAACTAAGCGTTACACATAATTACTGAGGCAGTGAGATCTACTCCTATTCTTGCAATGCTAACCAGTTTGGAACCTGTTCATGATTGTATTACGAGAAAAGCAACCCTATTATACCAGAAGCTGGTGCGTTTGCCCGAAAACTCTTTTTGGACAAACTATAATAAGAAAATTTCTAGAAATCTTAAAACTCTAATTGGCTTTATACAGGCTGCTCAGAGAGAATCTGATGCTTTGGAATCGAGGCAAGATTATCTAACTTTATCTCCTCCCCATTGTCTCTTACACTTTTTGAATTTGAATATAAAACTTGATCTTATTCAGAGTTGTTAAAAACGAAATGAGCAATTCAAAATTAAGATCTATTGCAATAAAAACTACTGAGGTTCGCTATCCTCAAAATGAGTGGTTGCGTGTCTACACTGATGGCTCTACGTAAGAGAAAGCATGAGATGCTGGAGCAGGTATCCATACAGGGTTCGTACACATTTCTGCACACGGAAATTAAGTACTTTTAAGGACCATTAATGAAAAAATTAAGGACCTATAAGCAATTGGGAACTGAATAAATTCAATTAAAAATATTATCTATGCTGAACTTCACTTTTGTAATACATTCTAAAATAAAACAGATCCATAAGTCGGATGCATTATTATTAAACATATTAAAATTATTATTATTAATAAGTTTGAGAATTAAAATAAATTTTGTGAAATTTATCAAGTAGCATTAATATATTTACACTATAATAATTGGATATATTTTGAAGAAAAGTGACATTTTATTAGGTTTTCTAAACAGTCACTTTACGTTGATTTTTGTTAATGTCTCATTTTGTCCCATACTGCTCAGTCTACGGGTTTATAAGTAGATTTTATGTCAAGCGGCATAAAGGAGAAGTAAAATCATAATCAGCATAATTTAAACAAGACTGGCTGTGTCACCCTCCCGCTAGAGATCTGCTGATCAAAAACCTAAAAAACCTGATGCAAGCTCGGTTTGCAAGTTTTGAAAGTTAGCTGCGCTCTGACGCAGTTAGTGTCATAGTTTCTTGTAGAGTTCCAGGGGTTGTAACTCAGTTAATATAGTTTCAGTTTTACTGTTTCTTAGAAATTACTAATGCCAGTTTTTCCATTTCATAATAAATGCTAATTAATATAAAAAATTTGCTATGCATCAATTTTTTTTTCTGTAACATCTATTATTTTTTTTATGATAAAACAATAAGCTGTACCCATGTGTATATGTTTACATATATATGAAGGAGTCGGAGTTATTAAAATTTTGGGAGTCTGAGTTGGAGTTGGTCATTTTCCCTACCGACTCCACAGCCCTGGTTATAATTAAATTACGTATTAGATAACCTCAGTCATTATGGATTTACATGGGCACTATTAAATTTTATTTATTTTTTAACAATATTTGTTAAAAAAAGCCCTATTAAATCAAATCGAATAAAATTTAAGAGTTTAAATACTGTAATTTATAGCATCAATCTTAAACGATATTAGGATATTATACATTAAAGCTACAAAATATTTTTTTTGTAGCAACAAACTCACAAAACACTTATGCGTCTTTTAATTGAAGCCTTCCCAGACATTTTGACCAATTTATATCCATTTCTTTCTCTTTTAACATCTTTTCTAACAGTTAGAACTTTGTCTCAATACGCAAGACAAAATGTCCTCACTAGTTTCTACGTGTTTTAGCTCCTAACTTGTCAACCTCTCCAAAATGTACATATGAGGGTTTACTTGATCTGGTAAAAGTTAAATAGTCCAAAACCCTCTGGACAGATGTGAAGCAAATTATCGCTACGTCTGAAAGTAGCTACAAAGATTTAAATAAGCTTCTTATTTAGAATCTTAGAACTCAGAACATAAGGGCATGTTATAATGCTAAATAAATAAATTACAGCTCGTGATGATGTAATTAAACAAGAATTTCAAACTAAAAATATGGACTAGTGATCAAAGACTATAACAATTTAATTCATTTAAGCTGTAACATTCAAGCTCAGTAACTTTATCGTCATAACAAATTCAAATCGGCCACGGTAATGTAAAACGTCATTACAAATTATCATAGGTGGGCAGTAACTAATGCAGGGAGCAAGTGGGTCAGAAATACACTCTTGTCTTACATTCTAAAAATCAGTTTAAAAAAAGTGATTTGCATTCTGGTGAGAAAATAGAAATGGAAAATTATAATAAATGAAATTGTAACAACTAACTGGGTAATTTACATAATAATATCTGTGCATATCTTTGAAGAATAATTTCCCTTTCTCTAAATAAATTCAGTTTCTTTCTTCCACATTTCCTTTCCATTTTAGAATTTTTTGATTTAATTAAAGATTTCTGTTATTCTAAAAACACTAAATGCATTTAGAATGTATAGAGTAAGCCTCTAATTTATTTCTTTAGTACTTGATATTCAGAAGAAATATAAAATATATATGGTAAGGTTCCGGTTACAAAGCTATTGTGACAGAATTTTTAGAATTTAATACACATCAAGCAACAAAAATCTAGAATGTAAAAATTTTAGAATTTAGAACAAGCATTGGAAGCAAAATTTAGAAAGGCACCAGCAGCAGCTTTTAGGATCCAGAGAGATTGTATCAGATTGGAAATGCCTTGTGCCATCCCTGTGTATATGCATAAGACATATTAGAGGAATAGTTTAAATTGTCAGTTTTAAATTCTTTATTAAAAAAAAATTCTTTCTATATGCCTGTCCATATGATAAGATAAGAAGCATTTCTGATATTTTATCTTGTGTCTAGTGACTTGCTTATTTTTCAGATTCAAAATATTGTATAAATGGTCAAAATGGAACTTTATAATACAACAGCAAAAAATAAAAATGCTTTATTCTAATGTTATTTTTTAATGTAATTACAATATATTACCATTATTTTAATGAAATTTATCAATGTTACAATGTTCTAACAAAAACGTCGAAAAATTTCCATTTCTCGTAATTAAAAATTTTCTATAGAAACTTATCTTAAAATCGCCAAAATGTTGCTAAGTCACCAAATTTAGAGCAGTTTAATAAAAGTATTCATATCTCCAAAAGCGAAAAGTTGTTTAAGAGCTCTTCACTAGAAAAAATGAAATAATTTCGAAATGCTTGTGTTGCACTTCTTGCTCAGAAACTCTATCCCACCATTTATATTAGAAATAGGAACAATTTATAATCCATAAACGCATTTACGCATTCAAAAGATAACGATATTTGTCAGCGAATTTCAAAAAATATTCCTCCAAAATGCTAATTCGCACTCAAAATGGCAATGGAAAAAACAGACAGAATTTTCAGATCATTAAATTAAAGACCTTCTTGCCGATTTTGGCCGAAATTAAGGACTTTTAAGGACCAAAAAATGATTCCAAAAACTTTTAAGGACTCTTAAGGACCATACGAACCCTGTCCATAGCAAACTTTGCAGTTTCTACTTACCAATGGGTCCTCTTACTACTGCCTTTGATGGTGAAATCGAAGCTTTTGCCGTGGCTATTCAACAACCGTCAATTCGTAGCCACTCATTTGTAAAGGCAGTCATACTGTCAGATTCCAAAAGTGTACTTCAAGCTCTTCTGAATAATCAAAATAGCTCCCAAAGAATCTTAGACTGTAAGCCTTTGCTTAAGGCAATGGCACACAGAATTTCATTCTAATGGATTCCAGCCCAATATAGAATTATGGGAAATGAAAAAGCTGATACATTGGCTAAGAAAGGAATTTTTATAATGCAACACATTAATCGATTGCTTTCATTTTATATGATTAAATTGTTTGTTAAGCTGACTCTTAAGATTCTTAAGCAGGTTATGATTCAATGTGTTATGGATAAGAGTTGGAGGATTCTGGGAGAAGAAACAACTTTCATTCTCACTTTTCCAAGACAGACAGCAGTAGCTCTATTTAGATGTCTGACCAGACATGACTGTTTACGAGACACCTCTACAGAGCTGGAGTGGTGGATTCCTCAAATTGTATTTTGTGTGACTTCAATCAGCCTATGATTTTTGAACATTTAATAGTATTGCGCTTTCTCGACATAAGGACATTGTTAAAAGGTACTGGAGAGCATGTGAATTAATGGCTTAAGTGCTAATGTTTGGCATTTGTAAAATAAAATAAAAATGGTATCAATCTGCTTTACCTAGTTTGGATATAATGCACTGGTTTTTGCCTCTTGAACCAAGACTGGCACAGCTTATAAGAGAATATTCGATAAGATCCTCATCATTTCAAAGGTTAATTATATTAGAACAAAGAATGGAATAGAACAATATATTTTAAGAATTATCATTGACAAAAACCTATCTTGAAAATTAGAACACTTTCATAAGGAATAAGAACATGCTTAATTTAAAGCTGGTCAATAGGCAACATTACCCTTACAATTTTCCATAGAAAACTATTTGATTTGTGTAGCCCTACAATAGTAAAAATATAAAAACTACTTATGCTGTGTGTAATAACAACAGCTTCTTATTCTGAAAGGCCACAGTTTCCTGTGAATACAAAACCACATAATTAAAACAATAATTTCTGCTTTCAGTGGTTAAAATTTAATTTGGGTGAATTTTAGCAAGGATTCCAACAATAAATTGGGCTCAAAAGAACACTGTCCTAAATAATTTACATAACCTGTTAAAAAATTTAGGTGAAACAAGTTGTAAAAATTATTTAAATCAGATATAAAAACTTCTGGAAAATTTTTCAACAGAACTAAAATACTTTTTTCAATAACTGGAAACAAAAGATAAAGCAATGGAACTTTATGCTTTTGAAAAATGCCTATACAATTGCGTATTTTATAAGTGTTTCTTAAACATGCCATATCTGTGAATTATCATTTTCTAGCTGAGTTTATAGCACATCCCATTCAACATATTTTTCTTGAACTACATTAATGGCATAAATATTTATAAAAATTACTAATTATATAAACCATAAATTATATCAGTCAGATACATTATTAAAATAAAGGTACAAAATGATCATGAAATATATATATATATACATCATGTATAACATATAATTAAGATTTGAAAGAAAAAAATACAAATTTGCAAAAAGATAAGTTATATTCATAGAAATGACAATTTGACATGAAGACAAAATTAAAAATCTTCTGGAATAATGTTGTCAAAACTGTTATGTGGCAAACTACAATGTTGCCCAAACGTAGTTTTTGGCAACCTATGTATGCATATGTATTCATGAAGATATGTATGCATTTATCTTATTTGGCCAGAGCACAGTACAAATATTTTCAGATGCCAAGTCTGTGAAATTCACCAACTTTTTTTCAAGAAAGATTACTGTGCACAGAGGGAGAATTACAGTGCAAACAAGAAGGATTTCTTGGAAAATAACATTTTATAACCTGTATTTTTTGCTTTATTAATTTCATTGACTACTTGTTCTGGTATGGAATTTTTAGTACACCGTCATTTTGAAAATGTGTGTTGCCATTTCCATAGTAGCTTAATGAAAAATTAATCAGCAATGAGTTCATGGCATTTCAGTTTGGGGGGGAGATAAAAAGAAAGGCCTTTACTTGTAATGTCAAAATTTTTTTTAGTAAGTATTTATACTTTTTGGACAGTTAACTGGAATAATTATATACATTTTCCAGACATCAATTCAACAATCTAAGTAGTAAAAAAAAAAAAAGCAAAGCAGAATACTGACCGAAAACAAGTCTGAATTTTTATTTTGATACTGCATAGAATCTAAACAAATTTTTACAGTTATTCGTACATTTTTAATTGCATTCACTTTATATAATATTCATAATGGTTGTTTATATGTTGCACAATTAGTCGCTTCAAATTAAGAAGAAACTTTAAAGCATTCCCTGCCTCAAACTGAAGAACTCATTAATTAGCTGTTATAAAACACTTCACTAACCAGCAGGAAGAGATTCACACCATCTTGGATCAGAAATTGGATAATCATCAATTATTCCTAAGCTCAGAGAAACCACAGCTTCATCTAAATCTGAGTTTTCAATGGATATTTCAGTTATCAGCTTTTCACAACTTTCCTGAAACGATAATAATTTATATTTCACAATCATTTATATATATGTACAAAATGTATTAAAAATAACTAATTATGCTGCAAAAACTATTTTAAATGTTAAAAAAACAAACAAAAAAAAAAAAAAAACTTTAGTACATTTCGATTATCACACTAACACAGACAGTCACCAGTGAATACTGGCAAGTTTGCAAATTGGCAAAACACATTTGCTGGCAGTTTCTACAACTTGTATAATTCCATTCATAAATAATAATAAAATGACAAAAAGAAGAATTTTATGAGAAAGAAGAATTTTTATAAAAAAGAACAAAAATTTACATGAACAATATTTAAATTTTTACAGCTGATGGATGCTGTTCAATGAAATGATGGCTAATGTGTGCATTCAAACATTATTAAGCTGTTGTCACATATATATTCTAAAATGTGCCAAAAGGTGACAACTCTCTCAAATGACGAAACAGGTGATGTGAATAATAAAAAGCACTAAAACTTTTAATATCTTACACAATTCAGATTGCTTTATACTCATACAGAATAACGCTACGAAACTTTCCGCCATGAACAATTGAAAATTTTTTCAAAAAGCAGATACACATGAAATACATACCATATCTCCTTTACAGTATGAATACATTGCTGATCTAAGTTTCACAGATAAACTTTCAGGAGGTGCTTTAGGCTTTAAAAAAAAAATAATAATAATTACAGTTTTCATATATGTTACAATAAAGTTAAAATTTATAATCAATAAACAATTTCCATTTATCTTCCAGTTGAGTTAAAATTTATAATCAACATTTTATGACAACAAATTGCAAATGTGATTCTATAGAATTTTACATTTTCAATTACTTTAACCCTTTGGGTACATTTGACAGCTTAAACAAATCATGCACTTGTTTTGCCTAAGTTATGGATAATGAATCTTAATCGACATTCAAACTAGGATAAAATTAAACATGTACATTCTTGTTAAAGGCAAAAGTGATTGGTATCAGTTATAAGAGTAAGTTTCTTACAGTACTTCAGTGAATGTTGTTTGTGAAAAGTCAAAAGAAGAATTTTTTCAAATAAATCTGTACCCCAAGGGTTAAAAATAAATAAGTGAACATAATTCTCAAAATTGTGGCAATAATGACAGGAATAACGATTTTAATTACTCAGTTGATGTTAATAGATGAAACATTCCTTAAAAATAATATTTGTAATATGAAATATATATATATATATATAGTGTATATATAATATATATACACATATACACTATTAGACCAAATACATATACACTATTAGACTTATATATATATATACACTATTAGACAAAAAAAAAAAAAAAAAAAAAAAAAAAAAAGACGCACCAAGAAGGAGTTATTCGAATGGGACGAAAATCAGTAGAAGTAATGTACATGTACAGAAAAACAAATGATTACAGTTTGATGATGATTATTGAAGTGATAGAGATTGACAAAGTGAAAAAGTCAGTAATGCGTTTGTCCACCTATGGCTCTTATGCAAGCAGTCATTCGGCTTGGCATCGATTGATAGAGGTTGCGGATGTCTTCCTGAGGGATATTGTGCCAAATTCTGTCCAACTGGTGCATTAGACCGTCAACATCCTGAGCTGATTGGAGGGCCCTGCCGTGACCTTTGAGAGAGAGAAGGCCATGACACATGTCGAACAAGTCAGAGATGAGTCATGCTTTCCGTCCATCGTTTTTTCCCCATTAGTTTTGCAACTATCACGAGGTGTGTGTACGTTCTGGTAAAGCTCTAAATTTGTCAATATAATTTGTTTAGCGCTGACTTTTTAATATTGTAGCAATAACTGATCATTGTTGTGTACCTAGTAGCAATAACTGATCATTGTTGTGTACCTAAGTGCAATTCTAATTATGCTAGAACTGAAAATTACAAGAGTGTATACAAATTTCCAACAGATGAAGCAAAAATGCAGCTTTGGTGATATAAGATTCCTCGCGCAAATTTCATACCATCTAAACAAATTGTTGTTTGTGAAAAATATTTTCATGAAGATATGATTGTGCGTGAAGATGTATTTACAGATAAAAATGGGGTGATTTCAAGAATATGGACAATGTTAAAAGACGATGCATATGCATGCATATTTAACGACTGTCCAATGTATATGACCAAAAAGCTGCCAGCAGTCAGGAGAAGTAGAATGGAAAAAGAGAAAGAAATATTCAGACGTTTCACAGAAAACGACAAAATTAATGGATTTGATAAATTGCTAACAAATGCTGATATAAAAATCAGAGAAACTCTGAAGAAAAATACAAAATTCATTGTCTATAAAAATTCTGGTGAACTTTTTGTTATATTTTTATGTTTTTGTCCAGCTCCATTCATTCAAAAGTGCTTAAAAATAGATAAAGAAATAAATGCTGAAATATTTTATGATAACAAGCCTGTTTATTTGGATAAAGTAAGGCACATATTGAATTAAGTGCCAAAGATCACACTGTGGAGTGAATTTCAGAACATTTTAACTTTTGTTGAAAATCTGACAAACAATAATGATATTCCTGAAAATAATTTTGAGACAGCTGTTAAATACTGCAGAGCTTTAATACAGAAAGAGGATGATGTACAGGAATATAATGATGGCTAGTTTATTTTAGAGCAAAGGAAATTGTTCGAAAAATCTAACAGAGGAAAAAGATACAGCAGTTATCTGACAGCATTTGCGTACTCTTTATATATGAAATCTACGTCATGTTATGAAGCAGTTCTTGCAAGTAATTTGGTCCAGATGCCATCTGTATAACATTTGAAAAGATTGACTTCTTGTTTGAAATTAAACCAAGCAATGATTGACACAAATAATATTACTTATGTTAAAAGTAAATGTAAAGCACAGTCAACCAAAGAATGCTTGGTGAATCTTCTCATTGATGAAATTCACATAAAACCAAAAATAGCCTTCAAAAGTAAAGCAAATTTTCGTTTTGCTGAAAATAAAGTCAATGAAGAAGCGACAACAATTCAAGCTTTTATGATAAGTTCACTATTTTCAAAATACAAAGAAATTACTGGACTGGTACCAGTCCTGAATATGACTGCTGAAGATTTATTCCATTTAACAAAGCAAGCTTTGCAATTACTAAATGATGCAGGCTTTAATGTTGTGTGTTTGATAGTGGACAATAATAGGATTAATCAAAACATGTTCTCTAAGATGTCATTTTCACAGAGTTCGAATAGTAATTTTTGCATGGCTAATCCAGCTGATGAATTGAAAGAATTATTTGTAATGTTCGATTCTGTTCATATAATAAAATGTATTCGTAATAATTGGCTGAATCAAAGTAATTTGGAGAAAACATTTCTTTTCCCTAAATTCGAAAATCTACAGGAAGTATCAAAAGCTGATTTTTCTCTTTTGATAAAAGTATTTAACATTAAAAGAGATTTAGTTGAAAAAATAGGATATAAACTAAATTTTAAAGCTGTGTATCCTTCGAATACTGAAAAACAAAATGTTAATTTAGCTTTAAAGATTTTTGATGATACAACTAGTGCAGCTGTAGAATTGTACAGCTAGCAGGATTCATCTTTTGTAAATGGTGAGACGACAGCATCTTTTACAAAAGTTATCAAAAAATGGTGGAACATAATGAATGTTAAGTATTCAAAAAAGGGAATATTTATAGCTAACCCAGACTGTTGTGTGTTGAAATCAGTATCAGATGAACATTTTAATTTTTTGGAGAACTTTATATTGTGGCTGGAAGCATGGCAAAATCTGAAATTAAAACCACGTGGTTCTAGATGTTTAAGTGAAGAGGCATTTTTTGCTTTGATACATACTACAAAATGCACAATATCTGTCAGAAAGCATCTTCTATCAAATGGAACACAGTATGTACTGAACACAGTATGTATTCAAACTGAGTGTTTATAATCTCGATTTGGTTTGTATCGTCAAATGCCTGGCAGTACATTTCACATAACTGCACAGGACATTTTAGAGAGTGAACGTAAGCTTCGAGTAAAAAGTATGTTGATACTACATTCTGACATGTTGGGAAATGTCCCAATTAAATGCCTTTTTGATGAAATTTCTTCCGTAACAAATCCCATGACATGTGATCTTTCTGTGTTTGACGATATTCAAAGTGATGTGGAGATAAATGTATCAACGAATGAACAGCAAGCTTCAATATATCTAGCTTTTTATTGTGTACATTCTTTGAAACTGCAGTGTGTAATCTCCAAAGAAAAAATACGAGTATTAAGTTTGGATAATTTATTGATTGAAGGGGGGAGATTATGATAACGTTCCATTATCTCAAACAGCAGAAACCAAAGATAAGTGCACATATTTAGATATGGTAAGTAGAAGTGGTCTTAAGAAACCCTCCATGCTAGTTTTTAATATTATAATCCATAGTTATTGTATATTTAGAAAACTTATATCAAAGAAATATGAAACACATTTTAAAAAATGCCAAAATCAGCATTCGGTCATTACTTCACTTTTTAAAATACAGTCAAAAGTCATTAATCCGGACACCCATAATCCGGACTTCAAAGCTACAAACTTTCTGCGCATGCGTCAACGCATAATGCGTTTGTTCACGCATGAACATAGGCGTTTACGCATACTTTCACACATGCGCATAATACGTTTATACAAGCATGTTTAATGTATAACGGACGGTATAAGCTAAGCTAAAATTATCTAATTATCTATTTCAGTTAATGTTGCAGATTGTGTTGTTCCTTAATCTTCGAATTGGATCCAGCTTATTATTTTTTGCAGACTGTTAGAGCAATTTTATAAAAAGTAAGCTTGAACTTTCGATTATGTCAAAAAGAACTTCCGATTGCTGGAGTTGCCAAAGGATCTACAAAGTGAAATGCATGTTTCGATGTCCATCAAAACAAAAAGTGGAATTGCTGCAAAAAATGGATAAAGGCATATCCTTTGTTTATCTAACCATTCCAAAATCTCTGTTTATCAAATTTCACACTGCTCTGCGGGGGGGGGGAACGTCGCGGTCGCGCAATGAACTGGAAGTTGATCTGTCAGCACTATTCCTTATCTTCGGGGCAGATGTTTTTATTTTATTTGGCTTATAATTCCTTACTAAATGTAGTATTTCATCTCGACATACTCCGTCTTTGATATGATTTAAATCAAATTCCTCTTCATTATAATTTGCTTCTGATAGTGAAGAAAGAGACACAGAGGTTATTGAAAACGAAAAAATTTCGATTGACAAATTAGTTGATACTCTCGACACAGCAATTACAGTACTGAAACAGTGGAACTTTGTAACTGAACAAGAAATTATGTCTGTTTATAGAATTAAAGAGAAAGTATTAGAACAAAAAACGAAGCAACTTAAACAATTTACATTGAAGGAAATGTTTAATAAAGTAAACAAATAAATATAAAGCTTTTTTTTTTTTTTAATTTTGATACCCTTTAGATCATAATTGTTCTTTATTTCATAAATTACGGTTTCATATTTTTTATTTTATAATTTCTGCATGCCATCTTACCAGATTTAAACTGATGATTTATAATCCGGAAAAATCGATAATCCGGATAAGTCCCGACGAATCCGGATTAAAGACTTTTGACTGTATTTATAAGTAATAGTGGGCTACTTGTTAATGAAAAATGCCAGTCTTGCAACTGTGATTTCTTTAATATTGTCATCAAAATGCTAAATACATTTGCAAACATTTGTTTAAACAATTATACCAAAGTATTAGAAGATAGTAAGTTTTCTGATTCAAATGAACGAAAACTAAAGAAATTTAAAAAGCATTAAGTATTTTTATTTTCTTAATTGTAAAATGCAGTTTTGTTAATTTTCTTATAGTATTTGTAACTCCAAGCACTGCATAGTTTATGCCATTTAAAAGATACATTATATATGTATTTGCTACAATATGACCACAGTATAAATATGAATGTTTGAATTTAGAGTTTTTACTATTAAAGTATATTTGTTCCATCGCTTAATTTTTGTATATATTTGTGCTAGCAGGACAATTTATGATAAATGGGATAAAAAAAAAGTTCCACTGTATGCTATTTCATGAAGAGAGTCTTTAATGCATGTGGTATGCTACCGTATATATTTAAAGATTTTCTGTGCAGTTTATGCGAAAACGTTTACTGATTTTAGAAAATGTATTTTTTGAATGAAATTATCATGATTATTTCAAAGAATAGAATATGTTAAGGTACGATAGAAAGATGAGATGTTAAGAAACCACTATAAATAACAATAAATATGAATGTTTGATTACATGATTTTTGTTATTATATTTAAGTATAACTTTAGCTTTATTGCTTAATTTGACATATGTAATAATAAGGAAGCAATAAATTAAAAAAAAAAAAAAAGATTTTGTCATGCTGTTTAATGAAGATCAGATTTTAATCACATAGTAAGTTATTGTCTATACTATTCAAAGCTCTTCCATGTAATATGTAAAGAAAGGTTAATGATTTTAAAAAGCACATAAATGATAATCGTAATTCCCATTATCCTAAAATTTAGAAGCTAAAAATATGTATATACACCTGCATATGATTGAATGAAATGGTGTTAAGAAACATCAGCATTACTACTAAATATTGTAATCCATAATTATTGCATTTTTAATCATACAATATTTTAAAAACATTATAATTTACATTAAGTGCAAAGTGCAGTTCTGTTATTTTTCTCTTGGAATTTTTAATATATCTCTTAGTATGAATACGAATGTTACAAGTTATGTTTTTTAATTATTACATTTGAATACATTCCATTTTCATTTTTAATTTTTGTACATGCTTGTTATAGCAATAAAATTCATGATAAATACGAAAAAACATTTTGTTGTGTGCTATTTAATAAACAGCAGATTTAAATGTCCAATTCTTATTATTGTGCATATTATTCAAATCATTTCTGCGCAGTATCCTAAGGAATGTTATAGATTTGAAAAAATGAATAAAATGTCCGTGAGAATCTGCCATTGTCTGAAACAAGTATATATATATATATATATATTTTACATATGATCGAAAGAAATGATGTTAAAAATTATCAACATTGCTACTAATTATTCTACTTTTTAACAGCTTGCTATTTAAAAAACACTAAATGATTTTTTTATTAATTGGAAATAGTAGATCTGTTAATTTTTTTTTTTTTTTTTTTTTTTTTTTTCCTGGTGACTTTCAAACACTGCATAGATTATGTGTTTTTTTAAATATTGCCAGTTGTTTGTTAGGTTATCTCATTTCAAATATGAATGTCAGAAGGCTTTTTTGTTATAAGATTTAGGTATGTTTCTTGTATAAAATATTTTTATCACATTTATTAGCTAATTTATATAGTATTTCGTTTACATACGTTGGAGATATAGAAGTTGATGGTTATATATTTTGCTCTGAAGCACGAATAAATTAATACTTGAGCCTAGGAAAAATATTAATTAGTATCTGAAGAACCCCTTCCCAATTTATCATGACAGTGAAAATTTTCAATTGGCGTTTAAATTTTTGTAAAATGTTCGTTTGTTCTTTGGTTCTTTCAGTTATATTTATGCACAAAGTTAATTAAAATATCTGTAAAAAGTGAAAATAATGTATATAAAACCTCCTTTCTTTCAGCTATTTTAATTAACTAAGCAACAGGATAAGCAACAAGTTATATTTCTGATGAAAATTTAAAAATCCAGATGACTTTCCAACGATAACATCGGATGGAAAGCTCCGCCATGTTTATAAAGTGTCATAGCCTTCTCCGTCTCGAAGGTCACGGCCCTGCCCATAAGGCTTCAAACATGCTCAATAGGAGAGAAATCCAACGACCTTGCTGGCTAAAGTAATGTTCGGCAAGCAGTAGAAACATGTGCAGTGTGGGGGCGGGCATTATCTTGCTGAAATGTACGCCCAGGGGTGGCGTGACATAAGGGGCAATACAACGAACCTTAGAACTTCATCGATGTACAGCTGTGCTGTAAGGTTGCGATGGATGACAACCAAAGGGGTCCTACTATAAAATGAAATGGCACCCCAGACCATCACTCCTGGTAACTAATCTTACACATATTTTTTGAAAATAAATAAATTTTTCACAATGCAATCACTATATAAACTGGTCTCTATTTCCATTTAAATTATTCAGTATTTGCCCCTTTAACATAATACATAATTCGAAAACTAGCAAAAAATAATTCAATGACTACCTATATTACATAAATAATTTTTCCTCAGCATGAGGAATATATATCAGATATAAAATCATATATTTTTTTTTTAACATGAAAATTTAAACTACTAATGGCATTTAAAAAAGAATCAGAAGTACAACTGCTTACATCTGGTTGCCGAATAGTTACTTCTTTCATAGAAGAAAGAAACCTAAAAATTAAAAAAATAGAAATTAGCAGAAAAGAATTTGGCAAGTAAAAAGAAAAAAAGAAGGTTAAAAATAAATAGAGAAAATAGCTTGGATTTTAATTCAAGTATCTCTCTAATAATAATTAAGTTAAAATTATATATAAAAAAATCCCTTTAAATACTTTCGGTTATAAAATGACAACATTACCCTTTTCAACAGAAAATATTAAATTTCTTTAATACTAAAATATTCAGCTCAGTATTTTACAGGAATTAAAGAGTTATGTTTTGTACTAACAATCTGTGTAACCAGCCTAAAATAGTTATGATTAAAAGAATTGATATATATCACACACATATATATATATATACATACACTCACATATAATGATTTTAATTCATGTAAGTGTAATTTAATGAAGTCCATTTGCATTAATTTTATAAAAATTAAATAAATAAACTTTAACAATAAACCATTTTTTAACTAATTCAATCATATTTCCAATTAAACAATTCTAAATTTTAAATATAAAAAAATTACGCTGAGAAGTATAATAAATACTACAGCTCACTGTATAATTGCTTTAACATGATAACTACTTTAAAAGATGATTTCAAAAAGAAGCAGAATTAAGAAAAATATTTTAAAAATACTTTATTCTTCAATGCATAAAAGTGTCTTATATGTTAACAATTTAATACAGTGAACAAAATATGAATCTGCTTATTTCTTTCTTTCAGATCTTCTCAACTATGTTTAGATTATTTTTGGTATATTATTTTATTTTTCAGTATATATTGTTAAAACTGATGTTAGCTTAAATATATATTGTCTATTTTATTTTTCTTTAACTGAAGAACTTAATGATATGATATGGAACATAAAAGTCATTCAATAACAAATATGTATTATTTCCAGAATAAAGTTTCTTCTTCCCTTCTACATACTCAATGAAACCCGGAAAATCTTTCTAAAAAAAGGAGGGAGTTCATTGAGATATAGGATAGAATGGATTCATTTATATCAGTCCAGCTAGGTACAGTAATTGCAACTAAAGGTCTTTGGATTACCGTATATATCAAAGAAGGATTTGCTTTTGAAATGTAAAAAGCCATACAAATTTTTAAAAAGGATACTAGTAATGAATAATGCTAATAAATCTTTACTAGAATACAAAAAGCAAAAACTGCAGATGTTCATTATTATGAATTATATAGATATATCATGAACTAAATGTGATTTTGTTTAAATAAAACAGATTATTAAAAAAGTTGAAAAAATACGTTTAAGAACTGAGTGTATTACTTTAAAATCTCTTATATTGTTAATAATACAGAAATTAAATTTTAAGACAACATTTTTATACTTTGCTGAATGGCAGCACTCTGGCATATGGAAGATAAATGTAGTTTATTTCAGATAATGGCTGCGCAGTATTTAACACGTTCAGTGCTGCTTCAGAGTTAAAACTCACCACTGAACAGGTTAAATTGCTGAGCTTGTTGATTATATTTAAAAGATAAACATATTAGGCTTTGTCATATGTCAATGTACTGACTGGCATATGGAAGATAAAAGTATTTTATTTCAGGTGGTGGCAACACATTGGTTTTAAATTGTTGAGTTTGCTAATCAAACATTTGTTAAGTTTGCACAAAAATATATACATAAGGGGGAAAAAATCTGAAGTAAAAAATTTCAGCTTTGAAGAGTAAATGCTTGGGTGCAGGCCTATATGTGTTCAAAATTTACTGGTTCTAGGTAACACCATCTTTTCACAGTGCAACTAACTCACATATAGCTAGATTCCTCATTTTTTAGTGATATCAAAAACTGAACATAAAAATACACTTCAAATAAGCAATTTCATTGTTCAATACTGAACAATTTTGAAATAAACCCCATACACATAAGTTATTGAAAATATAGACATTTCTTTAATGATAATACTTACAAATAACAGTTTTTGCACAGTACTTAAACTACTAGAAAGAATAAAAGCTTACCTTGAATCTCCAACTGATAACTGGCTTTGGACAAAGGACACAACCCCATAGTCTTTGGTGAAAAAAAGAGGAAGACCTTCACAAGAACCTGCAAGAGAAATATTTAACTATTTTTAAAAATTTATAAAACAAGTTTTTCACTTTCCCTTGTATTAGTGATATTAGAAAATAAGGCATTCTTCTATTAATGAGGGAGCAGTCAAAATGAGTACAAGCATGGCAGTGAAAAATCAACTTTACACTGCAAATGCACTAAACATTGCTTCTCATAATTGTTTGATCGAGATATGTTTTGTGCATAACATTTTTATTTACTCCATATTTTCTGACACAAGAATCAAGATAGATTTTATGATATGGCAGTTGCTAAATAATTAAGAATTTTGCCATTCAATTCTTTCATGAAAAAGGAGTTACCCACCATGAAAGAATTTGTTCAAATAAACACACAATGAAGCTATGTTTTAGTGACAATGATCATGCTGAGAAAAGTAAGACTGCAAACCAAAAATTATGGATGAAATAAAATAATTATTCACTTAATAATTATAATGATTATCATGAAACTACTACTTTTCTCAAACATTAATGTATGATTATACAGGGTGTGGCAGGAAACTTCCTTATTTGAAACGTGCACCATCTAGCGACATTTATTCCGAGAAGGGTGGGGTGGTGCTCATTGAAAAGAGTGGTATGTAAAGTTTTATGTCATGTAGGTTTAGTACCGACCATGCAGTGGACGATAGAGGAGTGCCCGTTCTCCTTGGAGACATACTTTTCAACGTATTGCATTTTCATCCATATAAATTGGCACTGGTGCAAAAACTTAATCCAAGCGATTTTCTTTCACAAAAAAATGTATGCAAAGCCATTCTTGACAATATGCCTCATGATGCCCTTTGTGTTCTTTAGCGATGAGGATCATTTTTATTATTCCGTTTACAGCATGCATTAGGCAAAACATGTGATAATGGAGTGGCATGAAACCACGAGAATTTCATGAGCAGCCCCTCACAATACAAAACGTGTAACTGTTTGGTGTGCACTGACCAGAATAGGCATCATTGACCATGATTTTTTGGAGAACATTCCCCTGGACGCCTTATCTCCTTGCAAGACGAATGTCAGAGGACAGCGCACTCGCCTGATTTAGCCCCATGTGATTTCTTTTTGTGGGGCTATCTGAAATCTCTAACAGCCAAAGACCCTGGCTCAACTGAAAAACAATATTCAGGCTGCTATCAACAACATACCCATTGATATGCTGGTAAAAATGGAAAGAAACTTCAAAACTCAACTATCTCAATGCATTTACCAGAAAGGAGGCCACCTTAATATTATTTTTAAACCATAATAATAAAAAAAAAACTTTAAGTGTCTCTCTATAACTTGGAAAAAAATTAAACTGATATCGCTTGTATTACTTGTGTTATTCCTTTTTAAAATAAGGTAGTTTCCCTGCCACACCCTGTATTTTTAGCATTGATGCATTTTGAATACATCACTAAAGTTTCTGTTACTATTTTTGAGGCAATATTTTGGGCTACCATTTATGGTACATGAAGTTTGATGTCTAGTAACAGAAATCACTAAGAATAAGCAAATGACATCTCTTAGTATTAATACAATTTCAGCAAAAATTACTTTCATAGTATACTAATTGCATTTAATGGAAGGTACTATGAGCATGTAAAATCATTTTTTAATGGAATTTATTGTACTTTTTATATTAGAAGCAAGTAAATGCACAGTAAATTAAAACAAAACAATAAACAGAGCTGACATTATTCCAAATTACAGACACAGAAAACAGTTATGTACATTATGTTGTTAAACAGCAGTTTTAAAAAAATAATCATTTCCCTCATCATTTCTAGGCAAGAATAGAATCTAAAAGACTTAATACAGTACAAAGTCCGAAATCCGGACTCATCAGGACTTATGCGATTCCAGATTTGGGATTTTTCCAAATATTAGATCATCAGTTTAAATCTAGTAAGATGGCATGTAGAAATTATAAAACTAAAAATATGAAATCATGATTTAAGAAACAATGAAGTATTTATGATCTAAAGGGTATCAAAAGTTACAAAAAAAAGCTTAATATTTATTTGTTTACCTTACATTTACATTCCTTTCAGTGTAAGTTGTTTAAGTTGCTTTGTTTTTTGTACTAATGCTCTCTCTTTAATTCTGTAGACAGACAAAATCTCTTGTTTAGTAACATTGTTGAAGTCCTGTAACTGCTGTTTTGAGAATTCCGACTAACTTGTCAATTGAAATTTTCTCATTTTCGGTAACTTCTCTGTCACTTTCTTCACTATCAGTAACAGTATTTTCTGGATCTAGAACCATACTACAGATTTTGCCATTCATTAATTGATTGATGATTGACAAGCATTGTCATCACAATGAAAAACTTCTTTTATATCATCTTCATTTATTACCACTTTTCCATATTTCTTTACAAAATCCATTAATTGGAAAATTTCACATGTTTTGCGATATTTTAAAACCTTTAAAATTAGCAACAATCATCATCAAATTTAGCTATCTTTCACTATACATATTTGGCTATGCATCATGAGCTTGGCGACTAACGACAAGTTGCTCCATTAAATTTCATCTTGCTTATATCGCGCACTGAGACTGAATTGTATTAGTTTAGTTATTTTTTATATTTATGTCTATTTCTTGCACATGCTTAAGTCTTATCAGATTTCTGAATAAATAAATTCCCACATATACTTAAACCTCATTGAGGGCAGCGCTAGATATCTTACCGCCTGATGCTGGCTCTGGGTTTATGTGAATAACAAATCAGTTATTCTTAATTTAAATAGCCCTAAATGTAATCTTTGGGTCTATGAGTATCATCAACAAAATCTATATTTAGAATATGAAAAAAAATTTTTGGTAAATTTTTCCTCGGCAACATTTTTTAGTGTATTTAACTTAAATCTGTAATCATCGCCAAGCGTAATGTTAACATAAAAGGTTACCATACTCCTTTATTAGTCAATTACAAACATAAAAAAATTATTTAGGCATCGCTACATGAGTAATTACTCAAGTTGTCATGTTTTGATAAACATGCGGTGATGAAAGGAAAGTATAATAAATAATGATTCGGGAAGTTGGCATCAGATCAACGATGTATTTATGTGGAATGTTTCGATTTGTGATGTGTGCCAAGCAGATATGCAGCAACGGAGCTGAATTACTGATCGTACAAATTTATGCTAAAATGATGGTTTCTTCAATAACAAGTTATTTTATTTAGTGTTGAAGTGAAATTAGGAATAAGGACTCTACAGATGTTTTATTATGAGTGGAGGGAGGAATAAAATGCTCATGCGTAAAGCCTACGAGAAAAATGTTTTTGGTGGTTTATAGGTCCGGATTTCGGACTTTGTATACTGTACAAACATATTAATTAGAATAATAATCAACACGTAACTTAGAATTCACATACCTGAACCTAAAATTAAGTTTCCAGAGTTTGCAAAATTTAATTCACTGATTTCACTTTGTGATACTCCAGCTGAAATGATAAAAGGTTAATTAAATAAAAATATTGCTCCATTTAATTATATTATAAATGTAGAAAAAATAATTTACAATAAAAGATTCAAAATTTTGTAGTATCTAGGGTAGAATGGAAGGACTAAGCATAATAAATATTGAAGAAGTAATTTAATGTGGGGTTAAATAACACAACAAATGACAGAATTTCGGATTAAGTATTTTAATGCTGGATTATGTCGTTTGCTGAAAATAATGTTAGGTACAATGTGTCAAAAAGAATACTTTCTTATTATTATGGCTCTTATTTAAACAACATCAAGACTATTAATAAATCACCAGCTTATGTTTCAAACCATCACCAAATGTACAGCTATCCTAACCACTGATTTATTATCATTATATTAAATTTTCTGTCTTTTTCTTTAAAGTGCTAAAAAGTTTTTGATTTACCAAATAGTTAGGAAAATGCTATACAATTCTTCCAAGAAAGAGGCATTTTATCCAGCATTTGAATTTGCAAAAACGGCCACAAAATGAAATTATGTATCAGTGAAAGCATTTGAAAGCACAATGTGAAACATTGCAAATAAAAGAACACCAAATGCGTGGTAAGATGCATGGTGATGGGAACAGCGTGTGTCATAAAAATGCTTTTGATAGTATTTTTTTTAAACATTTAAAAAGAAACAATATGAAATGCATTAAAATGAAAAAAGTACAATTTGATAAATGAAAAGCATTATTTAGTAAATTCTTAATTCTAATTATACAGAATTATGTATGCATATTTTTACATAAACAATAATATTGGAGAAATAGTCCCCCCTTTATTTAAAAATGTATGACAAAATATATTCTAATTTGTGATTCAAAAATAATTTTATTATAAGTTATAAAATTTCAGACATTTTGGCAGAATTTAAATGAATCAAAATTTTAATACAAAAAAATAGAATCTAAAACAATATCTTACATTTCTTTTGCTGAACAAAAAGAATTATTTCACTTTTTATTTTAATAGAAATAAGAAAATAAAAAAAAATCCAGCAAGTTTAACAATTAATTTAAATTTGGGGATGGTGAAAACAATAAATTTAAAGTATATTTAAAAAAATAACATTTCTGTTTAATAAAGGCATAAATAAAAAAATAGTTTATGCTCCTGTTGCTGTCATGTTAGCAAAAGATAAAAAATATCAGAAATAATTTTAATTTATCATAAATTCTAAACAAGCCCAAAAGTTTGAGATTCATCCTCTGAAGAAACCTTTAAACAATAGAATTCTTTCCTACTTTAACTTTTTCTAGTTAACCTTTTAACTGTCAAGTTATTTTGATGATTTGGGTGCCTAAATTGTCAATTTTTTTATATTCCAAAAATGAAATGTTTGCCCTCAAGTCAAAATATCAAAATAATGCCACGCACTTTGAACTTTAACCTCTATCCTTTGAAACCTTCAGTTAAATGCTGCCATCTGTTGAACTGAAGCCGAAATAAACTTCTCACGATATATATTCAGGTATAACAATATGACGCACTTAAAAAAAAATTAGCCCGAGTAATATTCAGACGTGACATTTTGGAATGCCAGTGCTTTGCCCAAGATTATTTCGGGCATGACAGTTAAAAGGTTAAAGTAGAAAATCATTCTATTGCTGAAGGTGAACTGCAAAAACAATCACAAAGTAAAATTTTATTTCTTTGATTCAAAGTATTATCATGCTGGATGGAAAATGGATATACATTATTGCACATAGTTTGAAGCATTTTGATTGCTATTTCTTCCTGTTCTGAAGCGTATACAAAGTCTATCCAGAAAGAAATGATTCCCCAAAATTCATTTATTTTTTACAGACACTTAAAATTCTTCAAAATAGCCTCTTTCTGCATTAATACATTGTTGCCAACAGCTCTGCCACCCAATGATGCCCCCTGGAAGTCTTCAGTTGGAATGTTGTTAAAAACGTGTTAGATTTTTTCAACAAGTTCTCCAGATTCTTGTTAAAGTTCTAAAAATGTCTGGTGGTGACTGATCAGAGCCATGTGAGGCAGCTTTGCAACAGTGTATTTTGCCAGGAACTGAGTAATTTTGAGGAATGTGCAGACTAGTGCATTATTGTGGTGCAGAATCCATTTGTTTGTGAGCTTTGAGCGAAAGTGCATGATTCAATCAATCAACCTTTAAAGCACTTCCTTGTAAAAATCTGCATTAACTATCTGTCTGAGTGGCACAAACTCTTAGTGTACTATTCCCCTGGTGTCTGGTGTCAAATAAGGCAATGAACATGGATTTCAATTTTGATTTGCTCACTCGAGCCTTCTTTTGATAAGGAAATTAGAGCATGTGCCACTCTGTTCTCTGTCTCTTTGTTTTAGGATCATACTGAAAACCCCATGTTTTGTCAATGGTAATCACTCATTTAAAAAAATTAAGGTCACTTGTTACAACTCCAGTAAATACGAAACTGATGCATGGTTTTCTTTCTGTCCATTAGTCAAAATCCTTGAACCAGCTTGTCACAAATTTTCAGCATTTGAAGTTTTCCTGATGATTTGATGCACAGTAAATTTTGTATACCCCAATGTCTCCACAATCATTTGGACTAATGATCAGACTCCAAAAGCGCTTTAATTTTGGTCACACTGCCTGAAGTTCAAGAGATTGATGAATACCAGCAAGTTGTTCATCATCGAAGTTCTCTCTCCCATCTTTGAAGGCTTTGTGCCATCTAAACACTTGAGTCTTGGAAAAAGAATCCTTTCCATAGGCTTCATGTAACATGGCAAGCATCTTAGTAGCTGATTTTGTTTAGTTTTACACAAAACTTTACGATGTATCACTGCTTAACACTCTACTGCATTCTGAAAGAGTAATGCCACTTTCAAACTTAATGCATATCTGCTTCACGAGCGATCTATGCACTGCAAAGACTGAAGGACAACTTAATTTTGTCACACTTTGCAAACAACAGCCCGCACCACACATAATGCCTGCAAACTTTGCCACTTTGACCTTCTGCTTGGCAGAAAAAATTTAGTCTCATTACTTTCTGGACAGAAACTGTATGTTCTTTGAACAATGAACTGATTTTTAGAGAGTCGTGCAGAAAGCAACATGGCATACCAAATGGTTCTATAGCAGATATACAGTAATGTATATGCATGAATGAAGATTTAAATTTCATTTTTTAAGAAGAAAAAAGTTTATTTATCAACATAAAAGCCAAGCCACATCTATTCTTCATCAGCAAAGAATATTTGATGGCATCTGGCAAGAAAGCAGCAATTGCTTTCTTCTTCAAAAATTCAATTGTACAACGATAGCAATCATCAAAGAAATTAAAAATAAAATAAAATGAAGAATTTATCATTCCAATGGCATATAATGTTACACTGGCAATCAAATTCAACTCTTTCTGCTTCTTTTTTTTTTTTTTTTAATCTCTTTTGATGGCATAATTGGATAGTTTTCGATTCAGCATTCTTATATAGCTCCTGCAGATTTTATGTCTCTATTTCATAAAAGCTCCTTTGTCCAACCAAGAAAAAAGTTCATAAAGATCCTTCCATCAAGAAGTGAAAAAATTATGAAAAAATATTTCTATTTGAAGAGGGCTAGTAACAGACGGTTGTAAACAAAATTTTGCACGAATGAATATTTTAGAACAGTGACCCTAATATGGAATCATAGATTCAGCAGTGAGAAATTCATTGAGAAATAACCCAAACTGGATGAATTTTTTTGTTCAATTCATCATAAAATTGGTTATATTTTGTCCAGTTTATCACCAGGTTGCAATTAAGAATTATCTATTAAATGAAAATTCCTTTTGATGTCTTTGAAATTGTTCCAGTAGACAATAGGGACAGCCGTGTCTTCAGAAGTACTCTAAGAATCATTGTCTCATTATATTCAATAAAAATAAACCCAAAAGCTTAGCAATATCTTTCCAGTCAGTCTGTATGTTAGTCCCCTTTTCAGCTGCAAAAGTTGCCACTTTGGCCAGACAGCTTGTGCAAAATTATTTCCTGGGAAATAAATATGAAAAATAAATAAATTCAGCTTCTATCAATCCTGCAAATTTATCACCAATTTTCAGTATTAGTTCACTTTTGAGGCTAGTATTAAAATTCAGATTTCTTTTTCTATTTCAGTGAGCAAGACTTTTCCTACATGAGAAGAATTATTAGTTGTTCTGCATTACTTTTGTTATTCATTTGAAATTATCTCTATAACCTGTTCTCCAGAAATGTTTTTGTTAATTGACAATCTGCTAGCAATGCTAAATGTGTCCACAAACCAGGCCTATGAATATTGTCATCAAAATTTCCTTCTTCAGAGATGCAAACAGCTTCACCAGGAAGAATTAGACAAATTTCAATTTCTTCATAAAAATCATCCATAACATCAGAATCTCTAAATATCATCAGATACTTAACAGTTTTAGTAAAGTGAACCTCGTTAACTTTGTCTGCTGATTTTTTAGAAATACAGTCAAGAGTCGTTAATTCGGACACCCATAATCCGGAATTCAAAGCTAAAAACTTTCTGCGCATGCGCCTCGTTGGCACATGCGCACAGGCGTTTTACGCGTGAGCCTTGACTACTGCGCACAGGCGTTTTACGCGTGCGCGTAAGACCTTGACTACTGCGTGTTTAATGTATAACGGACGGTGTAAGCTAAAATTATCTAATTATCTATTTCAGTTAATGTTAGTGATTGCGTTGTTCCTTAATCTTCAAATTGGATCCCGCTATTATTTTTTTCAGACTGTAAGAGCAATTTTATAAAAGTAAACTTGAACTTTCGATTATGTCAAATAGAATTTCCGATGTTGGAACTTCCAAAGGATCTACAAAACGAAAGTATGTTTTGTACAAAACCAAACAAACAAAAAGTGGAATTGCTGCAAAAAATGGATAAAGACATGAAGAATGTGACAGAGAGGTTACTGAAAAAACGAAAAAAATTTTTGATTGACAAGTTAGTCGGTATTCTCGGCACAGCAATTAACGGGACTTGAACAGCGGAACTTTGTAACTGAACAAGAAATTATTGTCTGTTTTATAGAATTAAAGAAAAAGTATTATCACATAAAATGAAGCAACTTAAACAACTTACATTGAAAGAAATGTTTAATAAAGTAAACAAATAAATATTAAGCTTTTTTTTTTCTTTTTTTGTAAATTTTGATACCCTTTAGATCATAATTGTTCTTTATTTCATAAATTACGGTTTCATATTTTTAATTTTAGAATTTGAGCATGCCATCTTACGAGATTTAAACTGATGATCTATAATCTGGAAAAATCGATAATCCGGAATCGCCGAAGTCCCGACGAGTCCAGATTAATGACTTTTGACTGTATTGACTAAAAAAATGACAAAAGAGGCCTTACTTTCTGAACTGCCCATTTCATATCTGAGAACCTGATTTCAGGATTCAAAATCAAGCCATCACCCATTTGTCAATGACAATTTTTTCAAGTCAATATAAATTAAATTTCATTTTTAAACGAATTTTCAGTTTGATGTTCCCAACTTGGAACATTGACCTGTAAAAGGTTAAGTATTAAACAATGAATACAATTCATATTTATGTATTTTGCTTGCATCATACACCATAGCAGGCAAATAATCAGTCTCCTTCTTAAAAGTTAAGAAAATCATTCTGCATTCAAGAAAAATATTACTAAAAAAATAAAAGCAGCATAAAAATTTTTCTTTAACTTTTAAAACAAAATTTATCTTCCCTCCCCCCTCATATTTAACATTTAAACTGAAAGCAAAGTATAGCATTATTAAAATATGCAAGCTTTTTATTAAAAAGAAAGTAGGAAATTATTAGGAAATGTGATTAAATGATAAAATTATCTTTAAATGAATGCTGATATATGAAATAAAATTTATAATTACTTTGCACACATAGGACTTTCTCAGAATTATAAATATAAGCAAACTGGCTTGACATGTTGGGCAGGATGAACTTAAAGTTTAGCAACTTCTCCTCATCATTTTCCTTAAAAGAAAAGGAATAAAGTTGAAGTTCTGCATATTCCTTCAATACATGTTCAGTTAAAATACATTTCAGCAATCTTAAATAGGCTCAATAAAAAAATTTTTTAATTAAAATTAATAAATTAAGAAAAACAATTTGATAATAAAGATTCAATAAATCTTTTATTTATTTGCTTTACTTTTTAATGTTTAAATTACTTAATTATATTGACAGCTGAAGAAAAGTACAAACATAAATTATTTTCTAGTCTTAAACTGAACTGTTAAATTCCACATGCATACTACTTGCTACATATTGTTCTGTCAGGAAATAAAGGCACTGTTCTAAATAAAATAAAGAAAAATGTGATCACTATTTTTTTTTACATTACATTTTTGATCAAATGTGGCTTTTCCTGCTGTTATTTAAATCAAATCATATGGATACTACAGTGTTACCTATTATAATTTTTTTTTTTTTTTTTACTAATCCTACTTCTTGTAGGAAAATTTAAATTACTACTTTCAACATTTATTTGAAATAAACTAAACTCCTCAGCAGACCCTAATTTTACCTAGTACAAAATAAATTTAAAACTCCTTTTAATATTACTGAAATAAGAGCAATACAAAACACATATCATAAACACTGATAAAGGCTTATGGGTTATAAGAGAAATAAAAAATCTGATGTGTACACCACATGACTTCCTTGTACGGAATATTAAATTATACGCATTTTTTCTTGCATTTTACTTAAACTTATTAGATTGAATTAAACCTACTTCGCCGACAACGCATAAACCACAATAGAATAAATGCATTCTTTAAAAATCCACTATATTTGTTTACTATAGAGACACTCTGGCGCTAGGTTCACTTAACAGTGTTATATTTCATTCATATTATAACTCAGAATGCACAAAATGTATATCATTTAAAGAATTATCTAATCGTTGCCACATGATCTATTCAAATACTATAATAAAGCTAGAACTATGTATAAAAGAAATTAAGCAAACAAACAAAAAAGAAACAGTTTTTCACAGATGATTGAGTATTTCTCATTTAATTAATTCAGTTTCTCACTTTGCGAGAAGGCAAAATACATAAAAAACTCAAAATATCTATATTAAAATTACAAGTAAATCTCAAACGCTTATTTCCTAGAAAAAATTCCAGAAAGAATTAAGCATGATTTAATTGGCAATAATAAATGAATGCGTTATCTTTGTTGTTGCGAAGCTAAGTTTTTCTAGATTGGCAACAAATCCACTAGTCTCCTGATTCAAATGTAAACATCAATGACCGCCATTAAAAACAGGCTTAGCGGCAATTAAACAACTTTAAAATTGCTGATAATTCTAAAAATATTACACACAGATTTACTAAAGGCATAAAATCCTTAACCCGAAGATAAAAACAACATAATTCAATCATTTTTAAAGCAAAAAATGCACAATTTACAAACATATAAGAGTAAAGAAACTGAGATTACTGAGCCGGGTAATAGAGTGGATATATGTATAAATATATTTATATAAGTTTGGTGCGGCCGATTGCAACCAAATTACGAGGTGCACATCTATATGTTATAGCAGTCCTATATACAAAATTTCAACGTTCTGAGACTACTCATTTTGGAGTTATGCGAGATATGTACGTACATACGTTCGTACAGACGCCACGAAAAATTCTCTTCAGAATTAATTTTAAAGCAGTTTTATAATTTTTTTGAAGGAAAAGAGTATTTTATTCTGTCCTTACGTACAGATATCACGCAAAAACATCGTTAAATTGCATTCGATAGCGGTCAAAATGGATATTTTCGTTGAAATATGCTGCCTGAAAATTTTCGCGATTACAATACTTCCTTTTTACTTCATACAAGGAAGTAAAAAAGTTGTATATATATATATACATATACACATATATACAACATTTCTCTACACTTAATGCAAATTTAAGGTTGAATTTGTTTGTTTAATTTTCAAATTTAAGTTGATAAATTTTTCTTAATTTGTTATTTCAAAATCGTTTAAAAAAATTTTAGTATTAAAAATGTTATAATTTTAAAAAATATACATTACTCATTCATTTTTCTTCTTTTATGAACTGCTCAATTTCTTTTTCTGTTTTAAACAATGCAAGGACTTTTCCTCACATACAGTATAACTTAAAAAGCTTTGTATATCATAATTTTTTTCTCAAAAATCTGATCAATATATTAAGATAAAACTTTTACAGATATTTTTTAAAGAATTTTAATAGTTCTATTACTTATTTTATTCTTTAATATTTTCTTGTATTAAATGATTGACAAAAAAATATACAGTGCATACATTTTTTAAGACTTTAATCTTAAAAAAATAAATAAAAAAAATTTTGATCTTAAGCTCTTAGTAATCATTATTTCGCATATTATGATGTAGATATTTAAATTCTGAATCAACTGACATTAAAAATTATAAGAACAGCTCAGACAGAACCCATAGATATGGTCACAAAACTTTTTGGAACTTATCCTTTGGTAACAATTTTTGTTGCTGATTGAAAAGATTGCAGAACACTGGGTGTCCAGATCTGCCATATAGTTAATGAGGCTCTGTGATTATTATATATACATGTATATATGTAATTGAAATAGAAATTGTAAAGCTAATTATTATTATATATATATCTGGAATTCAAGTTACATAAAATTCCATCCAGAAAATATTTTCAGAAACATGTCTCTTTTATAACCAGAGACTACTAGTAAATATAAAGTTACCTAATTTCATAGAATGTAAGATATTTAAACTGACAAGAGTGGCACAAACAAATATATTTACCTCATAAACTTCAACATGCTTTGTTACACGAAAAGATGAAAAATTTTGAGGTGGTTGATCTGACGATGTCATCAGAACAGCTAAAAGATATAAAAAAAGCATTAGGTAAAGATGAATGTAGATTAATTTTTGATAAAGACAGTTACAATTGCTTTCATCACTGCTGTTTATTCATTAATCACTCAAATATAATTCTTCTGAATGCAGATCAAATACACTTACCAAAAGCATAATAAATATTTCTTTCAGATCTACTGGGTACAGTTCCAGCTGTTAATATCATAACACCAGACCTTACAAAATAAACATTTTACAAAATTTAAATAATAAAAATGTGATATTTAAAATTTTCTATTTTGCTTATATAATAAAGCATACATAAAATGAAAACACTAATTTTATAATTATAGATCCACTCTACATCTAAAATATAAACTAAGCTTATTCAAATATCATTTTCATCAAGTTCAGAATATAATAAAATATAAATTATACTTATTACGATATGTTTGTCAAGATTAGACCACACATAGTAAGCAAAATTTAAATATAAATTTGATAATCAGTAATAATTCAAAATTTAAGCCCACTAGGGCTATCTGTGGGAAGAGATGCTTTTGTCAAGGGCTTTCTAAAGGAAATGGCTCATTATTTTTGCCAAATTTAGAATATAATAAAATGTAAATTATAGCTATTAAGATATGTTTGTAGTGTTACTAATCTAATAAATGGGGCAAACCATGAAAATGCCCAATCAGCCAGTCAGCCAGTGTACAGAAAATTTATCCATTTGATCACCAGTAGGCATATAGTACTTACTAATGGAAGCTGATTTTATGGGTTCAAATCCATGTTGAAGAAGGAATGTTTCTAACTTTAGAGTCCTTCCTAAGTGAAGGTATTTAAAGTTTGTTATCTGCATGTTCTCTTGTAAGGCCAACTTACAGTTCCATTCCTTGGGGTAGAATTAAGGTTGAGTAAGATTGATAATTAAATGTATTAATTAAACAGTAGGGTCCCATGGACCAACTTCCACGGCCAGGAGCATAAGAAACTAGTTATACTGATAATTTTGTGTTCATACAGAAGTCTGTGGTAACTATGAGATGATTTTTCTGGAAAGAACTACCACTAATGAAGACCACTAATAAGAAAAATGCAAAACATTAAGAATCTCTTCTGCTCTTAAAATCATTTAGATTTTGCCATAAGTTCATTGTTATGAAGCTCAAGAATAGTCCAAATAATAGACAAATTACAGTCCATTTATAGAATTTCATTTTGATATTTACAGATATGTTCACATTTTCAACTTGGTATTATTTAAATCAAATACAATGAAGCTGCTTATTCATTATTTATTGTATTGTTACAAATTTTGTATATGTATACCTAATTTTAATGAAATTATATGTGAAATTTCAGTATCTTTTACATAATGTAATATGAAAAGTCTGAAGAGATGAAGCTGTGCCAGAAAAATAATATTACAGGGGCAATTATATTTAACATAGAGGTAAATGGCTATCTTGCTAAATTGTGAGATATTGCCGATCTGGCAATGATTTTGGCGACTAATTTTTATCGCCAAATTTAGGGGAAAATCACCAAAAGTAAAAAAACTTGGCGACATTTAGGTCTGGTCCTTATATAACCGTAAAGGGCCGTTCCCACTGGTGTTTATTTGAGTTAAAGGAGACATTTCCACGCGTCGACTAGCTCTGCTATGCCAGCAGTTCATATTTTTTAACTTGCTGCCCTATGGGAAAAAATTGGTTTTGGAGATGGGTCAGCAACATCAGTTGTCTCTGTTAGCTCAGATAAATCTCAATGGGAACAGCCCTTAATTGGTACTGTAATTGACCCCTATATGTAACTCTAATCATATCCGGCCCTTATATGTAACTTTAACTGTATATGCCTTCCAGTAATTTTGAGAAATGGAAGGACTAGAGATTTATCGGCAGCTGCAGGGAAACTATATAAGACTGGAGACAGCATCAGCTCTCAGTTTTTCAGTTCAGTGTAGACTTTGGAGTAATTAGATCTTTGCTCTTTAGATGCACTTTGCATTACACTGTATTTAACATTCTGTGTGAAGTGTAACTACTAATTGTACTTTGTGATACTGAGAAGAGCTGTACGAGTATTTTTTTGTGGAAAGTTCTAGAATTGTAGGGTGTTTCTTTTGGCAAAAATAAATTTTATCAAGCTATCATCGGTTTTGTGTGCATTCAGTCTATTACAAACCCATATGCATGCAACAATATATTTATGTTACACAGAAGAAAAACCACAAAAAAGAGCTATTCAGCCAGACTATATTGGCAAGATTTTTAGCTCAGGTTGAACTGCCAGTGTCTGGTGGGCTGTTTCAGATTGTACTTAATTTAAGCAATTGAAATGGTTATATGCTGAATAGTTAGGCTTCTCCAAAATTCAGAAACACAAAATGTCAAACTGATCCAGTATGCTATAAAATTTTTCAATTAAGTAGCTGATTATTCATTTTTATTTCACCTTCACATTAAAAGTTTTAAAAATACTATAATCCAAATTTAGTATTTAATTAAAATCGACTTTTAAACTCATTCACAGCTGCTGGTGGAAACAGCCACTCAGTTTATTCACATGGTATGCTTGGACACTTTTAGGCATTTAACTATATAAGCTCTGTCGCACTATTATAAATGTTCTCAGGCACACCATGATAATTTCCCAAATGATGTCATGGACAACAACAACATACCATACAGCATTTATTTTTAGCAATATATTCAGCTACAGTAAACAATAACTAACTTTTTCTTATTATGAACACAAAATTGGAGAGTTAACATGTCTTATAAACTTACAAAAAACACTTTTATTTACTTACAAATACCTGGTTTTTAGCATTCATGTGAATAACCCTTTTGCTTCCCAATACTTCTGGGTTACAAAATTAAAACCAAAGCAGTGCACATGTTTAAATGTTCTTCGCATATAAGTTGTCCAGAGTCCCAAACAGAATATATTGAAGAATTTCTGAATATGATGTGCAGCATATCAGAATTAAAGTAATCAAGAGCAGTTAAAAAATAAAACCATGCCATAGCTGTAGCACTAGGAGAATCTATTTTATGTTTCTCATTCCGGAGACATTGCCAAGTCCTATCCATAACCTTTACACAGAAAATTCACTGAGGAATCTTGGTAAAGTTTGTGTTCTTCTATCTCTCAGCAGAATAGAAATTCTTCAAACCTCTGAATTTAAGGAAGGCAGTCATTCCTTTCTTTGTCATGAAATATGCACTCTCATTTCTCTCTACTCGATAATGAATTGGCACCTATTATAAAGGTACTAATACCAGCAAGAAAATTCAAAAGAAGTCAGCAATCATAAATACATTTTAAATTCCAAGTTCTGTTGCTGACAAGAACCTGAAGAACAAACAGATTGAAAGTTTAAGAGAATGATGGTTTGGAGGAGTGCTGGTGTATTTAATTATGGCAAAGCACACTAGGGCTATCTGCCTAAGGGGAGGGATACCTTCGTGGAGGACTTTCTAAGGGAAACTGGCTCATATACACATTACACATGGGGAAAACCACGAAACACCCATGCAGCCAGCCTGTTCGCGGGATTCGAACCTCGGACTGAACTACCAGTGTTCAGCAACTTTACCACTTAGCTGCTGGTCGGCGACGGTTTGGAAGACAGAGGTATTATGATAGTAAATCTGTTGTAAGAACCACATGAGTAACTTCTAATGCACCGTCAAAACCACGGGTGTTAGCAGAGACTACTTCATAAAATGTAAAAATGTTCGTTCTTGTGAAAAACATGTCAAATTTTATACAATTACTGCTTCTTAAATATTAATTAACATATATTATAACTAAACCAACTAGCAGCAAATGATATACAGTTTAGTCAAAACAACTTAAAATGTAAGAAATAAAGGGAACTTTGGAGGGGAAAACAATCTTACAAGTACTAAAATTTAAATGCAGTTCTAATAGTCACCAAATTACAAGCATGGAATAATGGATTTTGTTTATCATTACCAGAGAAATTTTTTTAATACCTAAAGAAACTAAATTTACACAGTTAAAAAATACTTTAAAAAGCTATTAAGCCTTAGTGCTATGCAATCTTAAACATTTAAGTTTTTAAGATAAGGAAATGAAAGAAACTTACGAACACAACTGCATATCTAAACACCAAGTCTTCAAACTAGGCATCAAGCAAGTTTCATTTTCCTAATAAGAAACAGAAGTATTACTACACATTCACAGTTTTTATTTTTGAATTTACATCACTTTTATTAAACACAATTCTTACAAATAATTCCTCAGCAAAATTCTGCTTTAACTGGCGATCCAAATCTGCTTCAAAAAGTAACTGAAAATGTTAAAAAGTAAGAATAAATGTTATTAAATTAAATGAGTATGCTAGAAAGTTTACATAAAAAAAATTTAAAAAAAAAGACTAACTTGATCAGTATTTTCCATCTTATCTTTTCTTGTTATGTGCCATTTTTGAATAGACGTATTGCTCAAAACATACAAAACATAGTCTCCTTCTTCATCTCTAACTGAAAGAACTCTATTAAGCTGCTTCTGAAATAAAAAAGCCAATAAAAATATTAAGGAAATTCATATAAAATGTAATTATATTATAGTGCAACATGCAAAGTTTTAAAATCAGCAAACTAGTAATCTATATTCTGAGAGTGAGGTGTGTGTGTGTATTTAATTATGGCAAAGAACACTAGGGCTTTCTGCCTAAAGGGAGGGATGCCTTCATGGAGGACTTTCTAAGGGAAACTGACTTGTATACACGTTAGACATGGGGAAAACCACGAAAACGCCCATGCAGCCAGCCCGTTCATGGGATTCGAACCTCGGACCAAACTACCAGTGATCAGTGACTTTACCGCTCGGCCGCTGGTGGGCTCTGAGAGTGAGGAGGAATGGGAGAAGGAAGCTACAGGCAAATATGTAAGATAACTTTTCAAAAAATTTCAAGCCATTCAGTGAATTTTTTTTAAAAATCTTAATTCAAGCTTTTCAAAAATCTTTATTATCCAAGGTTATCTTTTTAGATTGGTAAAAATACCTAAAATTCATCTATAACTTATCTTGTAGGTTTAAGAAACTTTTAGATGCAAATTGCAAATAAATTTTTTTTAAATAACATTTATTTGTAAAATTAGGCAAAAAAGCAACCATTAATTGTAGTTCTTTAACAAAACATTATTCAACCTAAATGCAAAATCAGGGTCTATAATTAACCTGTACCAATGACTTAACATTAATTATGATTAGTTTCATGTGATGGATTTTACTCCTTTGTGATTATAATAAATATGATACCTTTGAGATTTAGCTCCAAAGCCAGTTTTTTATTCGCTAAAAGTTTTTTGTATTATTACAGTTTTGCTAGGTTTTCTTGATTTTATAGATTATTCTTAATGAAATATTCAGAGTTTCACCTCTACTACAAATATTAATTCTTCAATTGTTCTGATATTTGATGAAAGACAACTTGATGGATACTGCAAACCCAGAACTCATACTCCAATCAGAGTCACATATCTTATTAACTATTAAATATTTTTCACCCATCTCTCTAAAAAAGGCATCTCCTAGCAGATGACATAGACCTCCTAGACAATGGTATGGCAATGAATGTGGTTAATTCAGACTCAAACATTGATGGAAAAAGTAAATTAAAAAATCATCAATAGATTAAACAAATAGTAAAGATTTAGTTTTAAAGTCAGCTTGATTCCATTATGTATGTATAATTGTTATATATATATACAGACATACATATATACAGAATGCTCTAATGTAATGTTTAATGTATTTTTTATTTGATTTTGGGGCTCTTTAATTAATGTTTAAAATGTAAAAAGAATTTTTTTTTTTTTTTTTTTTTTTTTTTTTTTTTTTAATGTTTGATCTGCTAGTTTTTTTTTCCTGTATCATGATTTCCATGACAGACAAGCTTTTTAAAAAATTTCCAAATGTATCAATTTTCATTCTTCTACTATTTTACAGAGAACAAAAGGTATAAATAGTCCATACATGAAAGGTTAGGAGACTCTGCAAGAATATGCTGAAAAAGTATGCATGGATTACTTGGATGCATGGATTATTATTATTATTATTATTATTTTAATGAAAGCAACATACTTTTCAAAGTAGGATTCATTGCTTTCTCATGAAGTTCTCTTGTGCTCTGATGAAGTTTTACTTTTCAAGAGTCAATGGGATAAAGAAGTTGAATTTCTTCTGTAAATATTAAATACAAAACTTTCTCTTGATGTACATTTAGTTGATTTTAAATTTTTTCCCACTGTTCTAATTTTTAATTTCCTATTGTAAGAGAATCCTGCATCAATCATAAACCCTTTATTGAAATTTTCTTTGCACTGATGGAAACGGATTTGTACATTTTTTATCTTCGTTTTTCATAATTAATAGACTCTTTTTTGTCGCAGTTTTTTAGGTAAATCTATGCTTCATCAAGGGTCACAATTTACTTCCATATATCTCCTGCTAAATAATTTTCCTACAGGGTTCTACAAATTTTTTTGCAACGAGTGCATGCCACAACAAAAGATGGTGAACATTATGTTTTTTTTATCTTTTTTAAGTTTTAAATTTTGACAGTGATTTAACTTTAGAAGCATTAGAAACAGTATGTACCATTTTCAAGTACTTGTCAGAAGTCTTCTTCCCAAGAAATATCCGACAGTTTTTCCCATTCCATTAATAATGTTGCTTATTTTATACTGTTTTTAAATTACAAAATAAGAATATTTCTCTTTGGAAAAGAAAAAAAAAAAAAAAATCTTTAACCCCACATGCTGTTTACATGCAACATTTTGGAAGAAGAATATGTTAAAAAGTAGCATACAGTATTTCTCATTTCAAACAATATGTTGTTGCCAGAAAATTTGATTCCAAATTATTTGTCTTTTTAAAATTCTTTATTAAAATTGTTCTAAAAATGTGTAAACACAATCTGTATCTAAAAAAAAAAAGAAATTATCCATCAACTGTATGTTATATTTGTTGTAAAAATGTAAATAATCAAAACAAAATCAGCTTCAGCAGTGATGTCAAACTGAAATCTCTCATTTTGAAACAGTTTATTCAAATTAGTATTTTCACTTGTAGTTGCAGGCAAATTTATTTTTGAAGCTGAGTTATTTCTGTTTAATTTACATAAAATACAGCATTTTCAAGTGATAGAATTTATTATTTGCTTCATTTTAGAGAAATGTTTAATAACATAATTTTACAAATGAGATATGTAATAAACAATCTAAAAATCATACAACCTTTCTGTGTGTGTGACATAATTAAAGCAGAAGAGGTTGACAAAAAGTTCTGGAATTCTTGGATTAATTTACTATCAAAATTTTTACAAAACCTTGCATTAAAGCAATAAGCACTAAGCTAAGCATTAGAAACCCAGATTAGTACCTCTTACTAATTCAATATGGAATTCTTGCCACAGTTTGAACACTCACACTAGTGCAAAAGAATTTCTTAAATTTCTTTCCTATTAGCAGACTTTCTAAAGCAAAAGAAAAAAAAAATCTAGGACTTTTAGGAGACTCTACATTTTTCGAAACATTGATATGCTTCAGCAGATTCCAAGATATATCTTCTGTTATGTTGGAGGTATTTACAAAACTACTAATGGTTATACAAATGGGGGGAAAAAAAAAAAAAAAAAAAAATTTCAGATTTTAAATTACGTCCAAGGGGGCATTTTTTTAATATTTTCTGTGTTACCTTTATTTATTAAATATCATATTCTTCGCACTTCAACTACAAAATTCAGCTCAACAGCAATATTGCAAAATAATTTTTTAATGAGCATATCTTCAGAATTTCCAATACAGAGTCTCACACGATGGAGATAATAATACGGGTTTTTATTTGGGGGGGGGGTTACAATGTTGCCATTGCTTGCTTTGAAATCATTTAGTTTGTTAATAAAAAATTCTTTGAAGTATTATAAAATATGAAATTGATAATAAAACAAATTTTAGATTTAAATTAGGGCTTCCACATGCCCTATTCTATGGAAGATAATGCTATTAAAATTTTGATGACTCTAGGTACCGTTGTTTTATGACAATGCAAGAAACATACATACATTCATGCAGATTCTTCATTATTTAATTTCTTTAAATATAATACAGGGAGATAATAATTGGCGGCAATAATTTGAAAAGTGAAACAATGCTTATCGTGAATCAACGCAAAATGACAAAACAAAATTATTAGTCCTTCTGGGTAAATTGCCCCTTTGAACTAAAAAAAGAAACACAACAAAACAGTTATAAATAACAAGCATTATATAAAAATTTACATAATAAACAAAATAAACATATACAAAAATTCTGAATCTAATTTAAAATACCATACTAATTTGACTCAAGCATACCCCTCAGACTTTTTACATGTACACTTTTACTTTTTTCATTATGTACAAGTTGCTATTTTATTTATTTATGCACATAATTTTCAATTTAAAGAAATGAAAAGCTGCATAAAAATGGTTCTAAAATTTCGCTTTCTTTGCCCATGCACTAAATGACTGTTAATTAACCTTTCAAAATCTTAGCCAAGACTACTCTCTCAAAAAGAAATAGAATGAACATGGAATATACAAATAGCAGTCCCCACAGATGCAGTTTCCATAAGGTGTTGGTACAAATGGTAATATGAGAGATCTTTATATTCCATAGGAGTGGACATTTGTCTTCCTTCTGAAAGTGCTAAATAGTTGCAAGAGTTGAATGATATAATACTATCTTTTCCTCTGCAGTCAGCCTCCAATGACTACTGACTTAAAACTTTAAAAACAGATCCAGTCAGAGTGAAGTTCAAAATAAACTGGTTTATTTGAGTAGATTGGTAGTTGATATTAAAAGCAGATGTTACCAGTTATGAAAATTAAAGCTATATATACTTCATTTTTCTAAACTGTTTTATCTAAAACTTCAAGCATATAAAATATTTTATGGCTGAATCTCTCGACTTCAGTGCTAAATGAAGATGAAAATCGGGTTTCTACCCAGATAATGTTGTTAGAATGTAACTGTACAATATGGGTACAATATGAGAATTGCACAATATGGGCTTGAGGACATACATTATAAGTTTCACTTTCTCAAGTTCCTTTTAAACTTATTGTATATGTCTTTATTGGTTTATTATTATTTATTGATTTATTTATTTTTATAATTTATATCTAGATTTAAATCAAGTAGCAAAACAAGAAATTTTGCTTTTACCTGTAATCCAAGAAATCAGAACTAATTATATTAAAAATAGTTATAATTAAGTAATAATAATAAGTAATGAGAGTATAAGATAAGAGTGGTGATACTTAAAATAGAACACTTAATCATATACTCTCTTCCTTTAGGAATTTAATCATATAAGCTCTTAATTATATAATCTCAGATTGGATTGGATTATTTGATTATGGCAAAGCATATTAGGAATATTTGTTTAACAGAAAGAATTACTTTGATAGAAATTGGCTTGTATTCATATTAGGCGTGAAACCATAAAAAAACACACACAGTAGCCCATTCACCAGGATTTGAACCAGATTGAACTATCAGTGTTCAGTGGTCTTATTCACTGAACTAATGGAACCCACTAATGGACGGAGAGGAATCCATTAGGGGATCCTATACCCTCAAAAATAGATTAAATTATAAAATTTTTCTCCTTTCAGTTTTCAAATAAATTAGTCAATTGTTACAAAAAGGGTGAGCAAATATGGAAGCAAACAACATTTCATATAACACATATATAACTCAGTTTGCAGATGCAGCAAGCCAAAATTATACTTCAGCCTAAAGAATTAAATTAAATTTAAAATGAGGAATGCTTCTTACTGGGATACGCATTTTGTAATTATTTCTGCTTATCAATAAAATTATTCAAATTTAGAGTTTATGATAAGTAATAAATGTAAATTCTCCAAGACATATGTCATGATACAACTACTGTAGTTTAAAAGTTTTTAAACAATACTTAATGAGAGAATACATATTTTCTGTTATTTAATATATAGATTGATAGAGAGATGTAAATTCAGAAAGACTGATTACTTACTGTTTCAGTGGTTTGTGCTGGGACAACACCAAATATAAAAGAATGAACTTTTCTGCCAATCCCTGCTAAGACTCCAAGCGGTAGTGTTAGAGGACGGCAAATCACACTGGGCTATTTAAAATTAGAGTGGAAAAATCAAATTTATGCAAACCATAAGAATTTTTTCATCTATAGTAGTAATTTTATTGATGTAAATTCCCCAAGACATAATAATAATTATAATTAATATATAGCTTGATATAATTAATATATAGTTTGATATTAATTATAACGTCAAGCTAGATCAGCTATCTCCAAATGTTTTTTTATTTGTGTACCCAAGACAAAAATAATTATAGTTGTATTCATATAATGATGTAATGCAATAAATACACTGATCAAAAGAATTGGAGAATATTGTAAGTTTGGTATAAAATAACCATATAATCAATAACTTTTTTTATCAATCAATAACTGACATAGAAGATTACTCATTTTAGATAAGGATAGAAAAGCAACCTGCAGCATTCCTCCTGTAGGAGGAGATTAAAAACAATTGACTTGCGTTGAACGTTTTGTAAAGTGAATATGATGTTTTAGCAAGATAGCTTAATCAAAAGCCTAGAGGGCTATCGGTTGTTTAGAGGCCAGTCAAATGCAATCCATTATAGTAGAAGAATTAAGAGTTTCTCAAAGTGTCATTTCCAGACTATGGAATCAATTTTTGGAAATCAGAAATGTTCGTTGAAGATCAGGACAAGATCATCTGCAACAACACAAAATAAGGATTAGTATTCAACACTAAGGTCCAGAACAAACCACACTATGAATGTCACGTTCTTACAACAGCACCATCAGAGGGCTACAGGTACCAGAGTTTTGAATCAAACTGTTGAAAGCCGAATCCATACTCATAGCTTGTGCAGATCAATAGTTTGTGCTTTGTTGACATAGGACCACCATGCTCCCGTGGAAGGTGAGCACAGGAGCATCTCAAATGGGAATGAGATGAGTGGAGCAACACGCTTCTCACGGACAAGTCCTGCTTTAGTGTACAACCTGACAATAGAAAGAGAACCTGGTACATGGAATACTCCTGCATTTGTGCATGAAAATGTCCGATTTGGTGGGGGTGGAGTGATGGTCTGGCCAGTATTTCTAGCAATGGCCACACTGAGCTGCACATTATCAGGAATGTGATGGAGATCCTCAAACCTACGAGGGTAAGTTGAAAAATAAGTTTCCCCTGTCGACTGTGGTCAGGGTTGTGTATGAAAGTCAAAAAATAGAATGAGACATTAAAGATATGACATACCTTTATTTTATTATTCTCGTACGAGTACGTTGAGACATTTGTCATATCGCTTGATAAGCTTCAAAAAGTCCTCCAAGAAAAATTCACGCTTTGCATATGGAAGAAGCGTTGAACGGCTATGGGCGAAAGACGACACAGCAGGAAAACGCGCAAGTCACCGATACACCATTGGGTAGAGGTCACTGCAAATCAAGCAGGTGGTGCTGTTGCAATGCCTGCGCAAAGCGGAGACCAGCCTGTTGGAAAATATAGCTTATTTTAAACCTTTTACTGCATCATCTCTCCTCCTTGAAATGTTTATTTAGTTTAGTTCTTATTTTAATGTAATATAGTAGTTACTTCTACTTCTTTTTCTTGCTGCCACTGTTTGCATTGAGAACGGACCGTTTCCACCTAATTGAGATGCAAAAACGAAACGTGATGTTACGTCATCTGAAAAGCCGATTCGTGCCAATAGCTGATTGGTTGCCGTGAGATGACGTCATTCCTACTTCTGCTATAAGTATCTCGCGTCGCTCTGGCTCAACCCTTCTAGTCTCCTTCTAGTTCCTGCTTTCCTGGCACTTGAGTGAGCGGTTTCCAGCCCCTTCAGAAGGATGCATGCAGTCCGGTGATTAAAGTGCCTTGTTCCGGTTTGCGGGATGGCTGTTCCTGAATAAAGTTCCTTGGTGCCTGTCCGTGGGATGATTGTTCCGGAAAAAGTTCCTTGGTTCATATCCATAAAATGATTGTTCCAGAATAATGTTCCTTGGTTCCAGAGGCTACCATATGAGTGACTGCTGTGGGCGGCATCCATGTTTTTCAATAAAGGCGGAATTTAAAACACGTGAGCGGCGATTCCTCGTGCAAACGGAGTTAGGCCGGTTTTAAGTGCTTTCAAGAACTTCATTAAAATTTTTCAGGTGTTTTCTCAACCATTGATTATGGACTTATTGAATGTGTTGCCAGCTTCATTTTTAAGCCGCATAATTAATGTTTAGGACATTTTTGTTTGTATTGAATGCCAGTGTTTTGGAGACCAGGTAAAAAAATATTATTTGATGAATGATGGTTATATTATATTTTTCCTAAGACTCTGATATTGTTGAAATTTATTTCTGTTTTTTTATTCTTTATTATATTGTTAATAATTGGTTAGTTCAAAACTTTTATTGTCTTCAATGTCTGCACAAACAATTATCTAAGGGAGCTTTTATTGCTACTTTTGCTAAATGTTTAATTTCTTTAAACTTTAACTTTGCTTAGCATCATATTGGTTATGGCCACCACCCTGAGTTATTTTTAGTGCAACTTTTGAAGTTTAAAGTTATTTAGGACTTAGAAATTGGGGGGGGGCGGTTTTTTTTTTTTTTTTTTTTTTTTTTTTTTTTTTAAAATTTAAATATGGCTACTGTTAGTGTCATGCATAATATTGCTAAACTTGATGCATGTAATTATTTTACATGGTCCAAACATATGAAGTTTGTCTTGAATGAAAAAAATGCATGGCTTTTGGTTTAAAGTTATTGAAAATGTCCTGATTTAAATGATGTTAAGGGTATTACAAAGAAATTATAGCCGACTATCAAAATAGAAGTCGATTGGCATTATTTTAATTTATATGAATGTAAGCCCTGACTATAGAAACTTGATAAGTTTGATTAGTGGCATGCCAAATACTTCCAGGATTATTTATTTTCAATTAATGGAATTAGGCTTAATTTCTTTAACTTAAACTTTGCTTTAGCATCATTTGGTTATGGGCCACCAGCCCCTGAGTTATTTTAGTGCAGACTTTTGAAGTTTAAAGTTAATTTAGGACTTAAGAGATTGGGGGGGGGGCGGTTTTTTTTTTTTTTTTTTTTTTTTTTTTTTTTTTTTTTTTGTTAAAATTCAAATATGGCTACTGTTAGTGTCATGCATAATATTGCTAAACTTGATGCATGTAATTATTTTACATGGTCCAAACATATGAAGTTTGTCTTGAATGAAAAAAATGCATGGCTTTTGGTTAAAGGTATTGAAAAATGTCCTGATTTAAATGATGTTAAGGGTATTACAAAAGAAATTATAGCCGACTATCAAAATAGAAGTCGATTGGCATTATCTTTAATTTATATGAATGTAAGCCCTGAATATAGAAACTTGATATGTGAAATTGATGACCCGGTAGTGGCATGGAATACGCTTGCCAAATATTTCCAGCCAGATTATCGGTCAAGACATATGTCCCCTGTTTTCAGAGTTCTTAAATTGTAAAATTAAGCCAAATGAAAGTATTAGTTTCTTTTCTTCTAGATTAAAACGCGTAACTGAACAAGTTAGCTGATATTAATCAGGCTGTAAGAGACGTATATATATGTTTCCAGTTTCTTAGGTTCCTTCCAGATAAATTTGATCAAGTAGTTCAGAATATTTTGAGGTGGCCAGATGAAAAGTTCATTTTTAAAAATGTTGAACTTGAAATTACTAGCAGAGGAAACGCGTCTTAATTTAAGAGAGATAGATAGGGAAAACTCCAATAAGACTATAGAAGTTCAAAGTACTCACTGTGAACCCAAATTTAAGCAGATTAAAGGGCTCAAGTGTTATAAATGTGGCCGTCCAGGTCATATTCAAAAGTACTGTAGAATGAAAGGTAATCTTTCCAGATCACCCTCACCTGCTTCTTCTGTTTCCTCAGCTGTATCTAGTAGTAATAAAACATCTTCTAAGTGTAAGAATAAACCCAAGTTGAGTAAAGGTAAAAATAATTCCCATGCACAGTCCCATTTTATAGCTCAAGCTAATGTTAACAATTTGGAAGAAAATGATGATAGTTGGATTTTTGATACAGCTGCATCTCATCATTTTTGTAAAAATCGTGAATTGTTTGATACTTTTTTTTTTCTCCTGTGAAAAATGAGAATATGCTAGTAGCTATTGATGGGGTAACTTTTCCAATTCATGGGAAGGGTACTGTTAAAATGAAATTTGGGGATACGGTTATTTTGCTTAAAGATGTGTTATACTCACCTGAACTGAGACGAAATTTAATATCTGGACCTAGAGTAGATATCAATGGAGCAAGATTTTATGGTAAAAATGGGCAAATTAAAGTTACTGATGATGAAAATTCAACTTTGTACAAGGCTAAGTTGATAGGAAGTAACTATCATGTGTTCCCGAAAATAGTCAAAAAGGGGGGCAAATCTGTAAAATTTGAGGCATCCACAGTTCAGCATAATAATAGTGAATTATGGCATGGTCGGTTTGGTCATATAAATTATGGTGCTATTGTCAGGACTAGTAAGAGACGTTCAGTTCGAGGTCTTCCTGTGTTAAAGCACTTACCTAATTTGTTTTGTGAACATTGCCAAATCAATAAGCAAAGACGAATCTCCTATAGACCCTTAGAAGGTATTCAAGTAAAGAGGCCGCTTGAAAGGGTTTTTTCTGATGTATGGGGACTTATTAACATTCCAGGTAGACATGGCGAACGTTATTTCGTTTCCTTTATTGACGAATATTCTCGTTACGTGGTTGTGTACCCCATTGTGGAGAAAAGTCAGGTGTTTGAAGTATTTGAAAGGCATATAGCACGTGTGGAAAGATCTTTGAACCTTAGGTTGAGATACTTTAGGACTGACAATGGGCGAGAATATGATAATGATCAATTCAGGTCATATTGTAATAAAAATGGTGTAAAGCACGAATTTACAGATGTATATACTCCAGAACAGAATGGAGTTTGTGAGAGATTTAATCAGACAGCTCTCAACAATGTACGTGCAATCTTACATGATAGTGGAATGAGTTCCGAATTTTGGTCAGATGCAGTAATGTATTTTGCATATTC